TGAAAAGCATCAGCTGCTTCAGATGGTTGGGATAGAGAAGCAGCAGCTACTTGAGATGCCTGGGATTGAGAAGGCCCTTGGGAAGTGCTTGACTGTTTCCTTTGCCTTAATTGCATACTCTGTTGTCCGCCACTTTGGTCTCCACCATCTCTCCTTCTTACCTAAAACAAATAATAATTAGAAGTTTCCATGATATAAAATTTTGATGAGTGAAAACATAGTTGAAACTGTGGCACTTACTTCAAGTTTGTCCTTGGCAATGTTCCTCTTCCTAGTAGGCTTTATGTTGGGATTTCTAGGTTCCTAATAACCAAAGTCATCAAGTCAGAAACCAAATCAAATACATTTAAATGTAAAGCAATAATTCTAAAAACCACATACCTTACAACTACTTAGATTATGCCCTTCTCCACCGCAATTGGCACACTTTAAAGGTAAACCATACCTAGGAAGCTTATATGGATTAGAAGGAAGTTTATGTTCTTCAACAGCTTGTTTTCTTGTCTTCTTAGGCCTACCAGGCTGCTTGTGGTATTTCGGAGGGAGTAATGGAGGTAAATTAACCTTCATCCACTGATCTTGGCTAGTCATAGGCATAATCATTGGTTGATAGGCTCTCAAATAAGCCTCTTTCTTGTACACTGCATCACAAAAGTCCTCTGGATTCCCATGAAACCAACTTATTGCAGCACATGCATGCAAACATGGTATTCCATTCAAATCCCAAGCATGGCATGAACAAGAGTGGCCATTCAAATCAACAGCAAAGGTGCGGCCACTATGGTGCATTACTTCAAACTGATTCTGTCCAGCAGCCTTAGGAATGCACCACTGAGCTTTTGCTTTGTTTTTCTCTAATATCTTTCTAATTCTTGGCCCAACTTGTCCATGCCATTTCTCACAGAGAACCCTTCTTCCCGCCATCAACAACATTATATACAACCGAATTCTTTCTAGCATAGTCAGAATAGGCTTGTCTCGGGCATCCAGTATGCTACGATTGAATGCCTCACATAGATTGTTCATAAGCATGTCACACTTGGAATCACTCTTGAAATATGTCCTACTCCAATGCCTAGGATCTTTCTCCATGAGCCAATCATGTGCAGGTTTAGACAACTGCAACATCTTTGTCATCTCTGCATGAAACCATGGCACTGTTGTGGCTCTAGCAATTGCTTCCATTTGATGTTTCAAGGTAAGACCTCTATGTTCCAAATAGAAGTTCCCATATAGATGTTTCAAACAATGTCTATGCTCTGCCTGAGGGAATAGAGCATTCACAGCATCTATTAACCCTTTTTGTTTGTCAGTCATAAATACATAACCATGGCTATTCGTAATATTGAGATCACCACTCAATAATTCTAAAAACCACAGCCATGTTGAATTGCTCTCAATCTCTATATATGCATAGGCAAGTGGAAACATTTCGTTGTTTGCATCAACTCCCATTGCAGAAAGCACTTGCCCAGGGTGAGGCCCTTTGACATGACACCCATCCAAGCAAACCACAGGCCTACAACCATCTAAAAACCCCTTCTTGCAAGCTGCAAGACAGATGTAAATTCTTTGAAACCGTGGCCTATCACCTTCCATTTTCAGATTTAATGATAACTGTACTTCCCACATTCCTGGTTCTTAACTCATGACAATATTCCCACAATACTTCATATTGTTTGTTGTAAGACCCCTCTACAATGTCAACTGCCATGGCTCTTGCTCTGTACACAGTTGCTCTAGATGGTCTGTAACCATAGTCTTGGTGAACTTGCTCTACAAAAGAAGAAGCAGTCCAATTTGGATTGAGCCTTAACTGCCCAGAATATCTTTCAGCCAACCAGCCAGCAGTAGCATGTATATTTTTAGTCCCCTTGCTACAAACATGTGTAGGATTAAAGGTTTTCACCTGCAGGTAAGTGCTACCACTAACACTTGAAGCATAGATAACAAAAGGACAACCCTCTTCACATACTGCTCTTATTTTGTTACGGTCATTATGCATAAAAATCAACTCCCTTCCACAATTAATGGAGTATATCCTCACAGCTTTTCTAAACAACTCGGCAGTTGCAAACCTTAAACCTATTTTGAAACTTGGGCTTCCCATATCAATTTCAGGTCTGAAATCTTCACCTTTTGGCATCCTATTCTTCTTCCTTCTTACTTCACCCACTGCATCATCTTCACTTTGTGAACTATTTGGGCAGGTAAGTGTAGGTGACTCTTCTCCATTGTCTGACTCATCATTTTGCTCTGCATTAGGATCATTGTCAAAAATACTATGATCCACATAACCTTCAAACCACTTATCATCATTCTTCAATAATTCAATCTCTTCATCACTCTGTGCATAGTCACTGTCTTCAAAGTCTGGATCACTGCTATCATCATTCTCAGAACAAGAATATTCTTTATCACTGCTATCATTCTCCACTTGGCTTGAAGTTAAGCTCACTACCTTCAAGTACAAAACTACAACCTTGCTATTGCTTTTAGGTACCATGCTCATACAAGCTAAAAGTGTACTATCATATATTATTTGAATGAGTCTGCTAGTTCCAAACTCTTCACCATAAAAACTCACATCATACCCATCGTCATATCCCAAATCTTTAGCCATTCCAAATAGCTCTAACATGGACATATAGTCAACCTCACAGTAATCAAACCAACTGACTTCACCACCTAAATAAGACCACTGACTGTCCTTTCTATTTTTCACTAGTTTACCTCCATGGAAAAACTTAAATGTGACAACCTCATCAGCATCTTTATCTGCGTAATAGGAACATTCACTTAACAAATGGAAAAAAACACACAAAGAGAAAAGAAGGACCACACAAAGGATAATACAAGGAACACCCAAGGACCACATAAGGTATATTGGGGCCAGCACAGAATAAAAAAATATATGAAAGAACAAAAAAATTTCGAGCAACACACCACACTAGGAACATGCAAGGACCACACAATGATCACACCAGAACCAGCAGAGTCAAAAAGTATACAAAAAACAAAAACAAAATCCTAACAACAGTTCAATGCACATGCCAAAATCAAGAAAATCGAGTAACAATGGGTCCACTTACATATGGGTTGACAACCTCCAGATTCTCTAAGCACCACCATCTTCGCACCTTCTAGCCTTAAAGTCTAACGCCAACGAATGATTTCTTCTCCAATTTCTCCCAAAATCGAAGGAACCCTCAGATTTTGACAACAACCCTCTTCTCCAATGAACCCTAAACCCAATTTCCCCTTTGTTACAAACTGAGAAACCCTTATTCGAACAGCTTAAAGGTTAAAACGAAGTGGGGCCCACTATTCGTAACAGACCGTCAAGAAATTTGACGGATGGGGTAAATTGAGACGGTTATTTATACGTTGGGGGTACTTTGAGACGTTTTCCACCACAGGTGGTAATCTGAGAAAAACGTAAAAGCACAGGGGGCATGTACATAATTAAGCCTTGCTCAAATATCATTTTGGTCAATCAATTAAAATTTTCAATTCAAACGTCCTTAAACTTTTTATTTGGTACCAAAACGGTCCCACCGTTAAAAACTGTTAATATTACCGTTAAATTGAGGGGTAAAATTATCCATATAAATTAAAATATTGCCTAAATAATTAAAAATTAGAAACCTATTATAAAACTTAGAAAAAACTTAGAAGATTGAAAATTTTGAATCTCACCAATCACATGGCTTCTTCTTCTTCTTCTCTTTTTTTTTAAAAAAAAATTAATTTTTTTATTATTTATAAATTTTGAGATTGACTTAAAAATTAATATAAAAAATTTTCAATTATTTAAATTAATTTAAAAAATCAGATAAATACAAAAATAAAATAACAAAAAACTAAAAAGAAAAAGAAAAACAACCCACCCCACTCAAATCTAGTCTTCCTCGACCATTCAAAATGCAACCCCTCCCCTTTCCTTACCCAGCACAGATCCTTAATGACTTGATGGCCTCACAAAGAGGCTGAATTCTAAAGATTTTGGTCCATTAGATCCCAACAAAAACCCTTCTCTTCCTCTGGACTTCCGTCGAGCAGCTGGTGGGAACTCAAAGTTGCATCACCAGCAAACAAGGACCTTCAAGCCCATTTCCATGGCTACCATGGGGTCCGCCACTGCCTCCAACCCCCTTTAATTCCTACGACGTTGTATGCCTTTATACAAGCAATTTCCCCTAGCCGTCGGATCCAAGCAAAACCAGTCTCTCTGTTTCGGTGTTCCCGACTCGACTCGCAGCTTCGATTGCTCCTTCTACGGCAAGCGTGAGGTTCACGACCAAGTGGTTGGCTATGATGGCTGCGAGTGCAACTTTCACCTCACCTGCCCCGGAATGTGCGGCCTTCAAGCTGTGGATTTGGAGAAATAAGTATGTGAGGAGTGTACAGGTAGTGGTCGTTTTACAGGAAGATACTCACTTAAAAATACGGTTTTGTCCCTCAATTTCACGAAATAATACACAGACTTTGATAGATGGACCATCTTGGTACAAAATAAAAAGTTTAAGGACGTTTGAATTGAAAATTTTAGTTAGTGGATCAAAATAATATTTAAGTAATAGTTGGGGGACCATTTAGGTCATTAACCCTAAATAAAATTAAAAAATGAAAAAACAACAATTTACTTTTGGTCTATATAGTTTGCCCATTTTATAATTTCATCCCATAGTTTTAATTTTAGGAATTTGACACCCTTCTTAAATTGATCGAATTGAAAATGACAAGAATACAATTGAAAACATTGAAACTAGATAGACTAAAGTAGTAAATCTTGCAAACTACGGGGACTAAAAAAGACTTTTCGTTAAATGAAAATTAAGAGGGAACGGCACCGTTTTGAAGGGGATGGGCATTTTCGGACATCTAAAACTAACAGCCCGAACACTGGTAACTAACCAACGCCATCATCACGCAGACACAGAACCTAGCAGCCCGGCACCAAAGAAGGAAGGAACACGAAGCACACCAGTGACCGCCACATGGCGGCCACTCGAGCCCCTCTGTCCTCATACCAAAACCCTAGCTCCACACCCACACTGAAATCTCCTCCCAAACCCTCTTATGTCGCTTTTGAAATAAAAGCCTCGACCTTGAGGAAGAAGAAGAAGCAGAACGTCATTAGGTGCGAGATCAAGAGCTTCGAGAATCCGCACAATTGGACCATCGAGCCGGATACGCCTATTCGCGTCTTTCACAACCATCCAGAAGCTCAGGTGGCAATGGCTTCCGGATCGGCAGTGAAGAAGGTCTGCCTCTTCTACTGCGCCGAGACCAAGTCGCTCGCTCAGAAAGTCGCGGCTCAATCTGACGCCATTGAGCTCCGTAGCATCAGTTGGAGGTGAGCTATAATTAGGCATTTTCCATGGAAAATGTAAATTTTCATTATAAATGCATAAGCTTGATTGTTTCTCAATTGCTCTTGTATCCAATTTTGTAAATTTTGTTTCTTTTAGGAAATTTGATGATGGGTTTCCCAACATATTCATACCCAATGCTCATGGCATTCGAGGACACCATGTGGCCTTTCTGGCCTCGTTTAGTTCCCCATCAGTGATTTTTGAGCAGCTCTCTGTGATCTATGCATTGCCCAAGTTGTTCATCTCCTCATTCACGCTTGTCCTTCCCTTTTTTCCCACGGGGACTTCTGAGCGTATGGAGGATGAGGGAGATGTTGCCACTGCTTTCACACTTGCCAGGGCCTTGTCAAATATACCCATTTCAATGGGAGGGCCCACTAGTTTAGTCATCTATGACATCCATGCCTTGCAGGTTTCTCTACCACATTACTATACAATTGTGTCTTCTCATAGTCATCAGTAAGCAACATGCAATGATTTTCTGACAGTATTTTTTTCATTGTCTTTTGTGTGTTTAGGAGAGATTTTACTTTGGGGATAATATCTTACCATGCTTTGAAAGTGGGATCCCTTTGCTCAAAAGTAGGCTGCAACAGCTCCCTGATTCTGACAATGTAAAGTTCTTTTCCCCTCTGGATGTTGAGTCCTGGGAATTTAGATGTTGATAAGAGTAATTATTCAAATCAATTTTTATTTCTGAAATTGTGTGATGATTTTCTTCACATTTCAGATATCCATTGCTTTTCCTGATGATGGTGCATGGAAACGATTTCATAAGCAGCTACAGCATTTCCCAACGGTATTTTGTTTTCCCTTTCCTAGTAACAAGTTGGAGCTAAGAGTCTTCAAAACCACATATACATGACAATTATCTTCCTGTCTTCATGTTTGTTCTAAGTATTTTGACAAGAATCTGCTCATTGAGCCCTGTGCACTACTCTTCATAGTTATATAATAGGATGGATATGTCAATGAGCTCGGTGCATTAAATTGCATGCTCTATACTCTGATTCCATCCTTAAGATTTCATCATAAAGCTTATAGTTTGTGTAAGAAGTGCAGCTGGACACTGTTTGTTCAACTATGTTGTGGTTTCATCTCCTTCGCTGACATTTTCATGAACTTTAATATTTACTTCATGAAGGCGTGATTTAATTATGTTTCTTGTTGGCTGCATAACCTTCCACAATTAAATGCAGATTGTCTGTGCTAAAGTTCGGGAAGGTGACCAACGAATTGTACGTATTAAGGAGGGAGACGCAAGAGGACGGCATGTTGTGATTGTTGATGATTTGGTTCAATCTGGTGGCACCTTGATCGAATGCCAGGTATCAAAATCCTGGGTGAACTTATTGTCTGCTGCCTGATACTAATAACCTTAAAATAAAAGAAGACTGTATGAATGATGTGCCTGCCTTGAGCACAACATTTTAACCCTATAATACTGGTCATAACACACAGAACCTTGAAATTCAGATAGAATATGGCCCAATTGATAACATGATCAACACTTTTGGCAAAAAGTAAAGAATAAAATTGTCACTGGGTTAGATCTGGAAAATAACTTCTTGACCAATAGATGGACATTGGACTTATTGCTTGTTTTTTGCTACACACTCCTAACTTTCACAGAGGAGAATAGTTCTTCCATTTGTTTATAACTAATCTGAAATGTCTTGTTACGTTCTCACTTGTTCTAGAAAGTTTTAGCCGCCCATGGAGCTGCGAAAATCAGTGCTTATGTAACGCATGGGATTTTTCCTAATAGATCATGGGAACGCTTTCAAAGAGATAATGGAGGTATTACGTGCTCTACTTACTTTTCCTCTGAAGTTTTTATTACTCGTTATTCTTTTGATTTGTAGTTAACTTTCATGCTCTTGTATAATTTAACAAAAAATAAACTCACTACTACATGGTGCCAACTCAGTTGAGACTCTCCAAGTACAATTTCTAATTCCTCTGTGCATTCTTTCTTTCCTTTTCCAACCAGGGAAACCTGAGCATGGGCTGACCTACTTCTGGATTACAGACTCATGTCCACTGACAGTGAAAGATGTGATGCACAATCCACCGTTTGAAGTTCTCAGCCTTGCTGGTTCTATAGCGGCTACTCTTCAAATATAAGAGAAACTTAGGAGCACTAGATAAAAGTGCCTTCTCTTAGGTTTTATTTCTTGTTCTCCCATCCTTTCTTCCTCTTATGGGGTTCAACAGATTATAGAGTCATCAAGCATAGAGAAGTACAAGGATTCAAGTATCAGGCTGCAGCGAAGAATTTTTACTTTTTGTAGCAGTTATTATGAAAAAATGATGCAAACTTTCAGGGGCATTGACAAAGTTTAGCACTTTGATTACAATAAACACCTAGTATCCTCAATGCTAAGTTGCTGTCAAAAGTATTATCTAGCTCTAGGAATAGAGCAAGGGCAAATAGCCATTTCTGAAGAAAAGTTATAGGCTAGCATTGTCTACAGTTCGAGCATATGTGATTTCCTTTTAGACAAATTGTAAGAAGTTATTTCTATATATTAAGTATTTCATATGTGCAAAGCAAGTGAAGGAAATTAGCCTTCATATTGTATCACTGCTCTTTAGTAACTGTTTCTGCACTGGTGTGCACGGTGCCTGCCTTTCTTGGCCCAGTATCCTTCTCCAGAAGGATGGTACAAACTAAATGGTGATGGCATCTTGCAAGGATGAATCTGACAGAATGGGAGCTGGGGTTGGTGATCGTCGAGGAGGGTGGCTTGCCAATCACTTCAGGCAGGGCGAAGCCACCTTCAGAGCCATCTTTTTTGGATGAAATTCTTAGATAGGTCTATAATAGTTTTTTATATAGTACTTTTAGAAATTATATAATTTTTGGTGATTACAAGAAGTAAAAAGATATTTATTTTACTAGCATTTATCAAATTAAAGTTTTTGTAACAAATTCATGGTCAATATTTGATACCAAATATAGTGCTTCGTATGTAGTTTAGTAGCTCCGGATGCACCAGATGTGAAGTACATATTTGGCACTCCTTGTTCCCTTTAAAGGACATTTGTGGTGTTGCTGGCAGAGCTGGGGGAGGTGGGGTTGGTACTAGCGAAGCTAGTGTAAATGGAAGAGGTGGAGCTGGCGAAGGCATAGTTGGCAGAGGCAGAGTTGGCTGAGGCCTATTTGGCAAAGGTGGAGCTAGCGGAGGCGTAGTTGGCAAAGGCAGAGTTGGTTGAGGCCTATTTGGCAAAGGTGGAGCTAGCAGAGGCAGAATCGGTAGAGGCGTAGCTGGCATGGGCAGAAATGGCGAAGACGTAGCCGTCAATGGCGGAGGTGTAGGTGGCAAAATCAGAGCTAGCGGAGGCATAGCCAGCACAGGCGGAGATGGCGGAGGTGTATCTGGCAAGTGCGGAGCTGGCAGAGGTGTAGCTGGCAAAATCAGAGCTAATGGAGGCGCAACCGGCATAGGCAGAGATGGCGGAGGCATAGACGGCATAGGGGGAGATGGCGGAGGTGTAACAGGCAAAGGTGGACATGGCAGAGGTGTAGGTGGCAAAGGCAGAGCTTGTGGAGGCGTAGCTGGAGAATAAGTAGTTGGTTCTACCCTTGCCTTGAGGCAAGGTACTTTGGGCACAATAGTGCCAATGGAAGTTCCAATAGTATTATTGCAAGAGGCATAAATCTTCTTACCAGGAACATCAGAGGTAATTTTGATGCGGTCCATAATAATGTTAACCTAAATTCTGGTCACAATCTAATTTGATCGCCTCCTCACTCGCAGAAGTTCCTTCAAAATCAATGTACTTCACATCATCCACTGACACAGCCGAGGCCTGAGTTTTGCATTTGTGATCACCATTACAATAAAACTGGTCAATGATGATGGAATTTTGAGCTCCACCGAGTGTGATCTTCTCAAACGTTATGTTCCTAGCATACCCGGATCCGCCCTGCCACGTCTTGACCCTGGCTCCACTTGTAGTCCCACTGAAACTACAATATCTCACGTACACATTCTCCACTTTCTCAAGTTGCCCATATGCTCCCAAGCTTCCCACAATGTTTGCAAAAGAGAATTTTAAGTTAATATTATAAGCTAGATTTTTCAATAAGGATTTGTGTTAAGGACTACGTAACTCATTCCATGGCCTGGTCCGCACACGATGTTGGCGATGTTGAGATCGAAGCAGTCACCGTTTATGGCTATACAGTCATCGCCGGTTCCAAGGGTAGAGTGTTGAATAAAGACATTGTGTGAGCTTGAGATGTCAATGCCATCAGTGTTTGGTTGGACTGTCTTCAAGTGCTGTTATGGTGAGATGAGAGACAACACATTGTTGTAATGGCTTTAGCAATGTGGGCTCTTGCATTGTTTAGATGAGTAAGTCCACTTAGTTTAAGATTATCGCATCCATGGAAGTGCAGAGCCTGCAGTAACATTCAAATTAGTAAACCCAATTTCAGTATTTAAAAAAACACTAAATTAAATTAAATTGAAAAAGAAAAATAATTCATACATCTGGTGGTTTGCAATTCTTCTCATGATAATGTGTCGTATTGGTTGGGAGTGGTCCACCAAGATGAACCATGACCGTCGATTTCTCCTGGACCATCAACCAAGAGATTGCCCAGATTCGAAAATTGGGTTTTGGGTGCCACTAGTTTTCCCAGGATATGCTCACCACACCCCAACAGGAAAGGAGAAAAAGAACAATTTAATCAGTTTTCAATAAGTAAGAAAAATCATATTGTTGAAATAAGTGTTTTCAGCTCATCAAAAAAGAAAAAAGAAAAAAAAAGAAACCAGTGTTTTCAAAGGCGTGTGTAGGTTACCTGAATATGAACACTATTTGAGTTGCAAGGACCTTCAAACTTGATGGGCTGCAATAAGAAAGTTTTTGTCTCTGGTATAACAAGTGTTGGTACGCCGTTAGCTTCATCAGATGCTCCACATAACTCTTCCCATGCTTTTACAAAAGCCTATATTTGCAAAGTGAACAAACTGTAAGTGATTGCCCCTTTTAGCTTAAGATAATGGCAAATAAAAAAATAATATAAAACAAGAAAAATAAAAATGCTCTCTTCCTTATTGGATAACATGATGACATTTTAATGTTGTCGCATTCATCCAAACTATTGATAAGAGGAACATGTACTTTATGTGAATATGTGGTTTAAATACAAAGTTTGACAACATTAACACGTCAAGCTATCTAACAAGCGAACATTACTCGAAAGAACTAAATGCATGTGTTACGAAAAGTTAATTACCCTGGAATAATTAGTTTTTCGGTCTCCAACAACACCATATTTAAGAACATCGAATGATATTTGTGATAACAATATTAGTTAGTTTGTATTCAGTTAAGCTGTCACGTATGTGCTAACGTGTTGTTAGTTAGTATTAGCTGTAGTTAGTTAGATTGTTAAGTCTTGGTTATTGAGATATATAACACTGATGACACTATGATTGTAATCATTCCTGTGAAATCAATATATAGAGCATATCATTTTCTTGAATCTTCTTCTTCCTTCTTAGCTTTCTCAATTCTTAAGCTTCCTCTTCTAAACTGTTAATAATTTGGCTATGTCTAAAACCAATCAACTGAGATGAACCAATGTACGAAACAATGAAGAAGAAACCAAAAGGATGGCAAAGTACGTAGCTAAAGTTTTCGGGCACTAGAACAGAAGGATCTGTTAATAAGGTTCCCTAAAGATATAGCACTGACATCTTTTCCTTAAGATCTCCCACAATTCACTCTTGTTTACGTTGTAAAAGTAGATTCCTCATCATCAGCAATTATTGTATCTTTGTCAATATATACGTTGTAATTCAATACTGGAAATCCATAAATGAGAATTAGTTTTCACATGGTATCAGAGCATACCTTCATATGGCATCCTCTGGAAATCTCTCGTCTATCTCTATGAGCTCTCTCTTAATCCCAAACATCTCTACTACTCTTGTCTCTGTCAAGCTTTCTGAAACAAACTATTTGTTATGGGAAAGTCAGATTAAGCCATTCCTCGTTGGCCAAGATTATTGGAAATTTCTCGATGGCTCTTATCCTTGCCCATCTCCCTTTCTCACCACCACAGTTACTCCCTCTAAAGATACCCTATCTGAAGCTTCTCCGACCATCACCACAACACCCAATCCACAGTACACTCAATAGTAGCAGACTAATCAAACTCTTGTTAGTCTTCTTTGTGCGACTTTCACCGAACCCGTTCTCTCTCAAGTCGTTGGCATGTCCACCTCTCGCCAGATTTGGGACTGCCTCCACCAAAACAACCAATCCTATAATAATACAAGCTCAGGCCTATTAGGCCATGCACTATCAGTCTGCCACTCAAATCCACAATGTTGGAATTATGGGCAATATGGCCATATCTCAACCTGCTTCCCCACTCGCTCTCATGAAGAAGATCTCTCTCGCTCCTTTGCTGGTATACACATGGCTTCTCCATCAGACACAAATTGGTATTTGGACAGCGGTGCCACTCATCATATGACAACCGATGCCTGCTCTATGCCTCCTCATTCTCCTCCCAGACATAATGACCAAGTCATTGTTGGTAATGGTGAATCTTTGCATAAACAGTTACTATATATCGCCAAATTCACTCGTGGTAATCTTGTTAGCCTTACTTTCTTTCCTTGGGGTTTTGCTATTCGTGATTTAAAAACTGGTAATGTTCCCTTATAGGGTCCATGTGAAGATGGTCTATATCCTATCCCACCGGTCCTTGCCTCCATAATTTTCACCGGCTCGAAATTTGCTCTTGCCTATTTGTTTGCTTCCTCATCACTTTGGCATCATCGTTTAGGTCATCCATCTAATCACGTGCTTCGCATGTTAGCATCTAGTACTCCTTTCGGGTCGTCTTTTAATTTCTCTTGTAATAATTTTTGTAATCATTGTGCTTTGGCCAAGTCCACTCGTCTTTCCTTTTCCTCTTATGAACATTGTTATAGTGCACCATTTAATTTAATTCACTTTGATGTATGGATGTCTCATGTTGCCTATGTGTCTGGCTTTCATTACTATCTGTCATTTACTCATGGATCTTCCCTATGCGACATAAATCTGAAGTTTTTACTCTTTTTAAAAACTTTGTTGCGTTTATTGAAACCCAATTTTTTCTCTGTTCAACAGTTTCAGAGTGATGGGGGAGGAGAATTTAATCTATTTCATCAATTTTGTGCTAGAAAAGGTATTTATCACCATTTTTCTTGCACTCATACCCCCCACCCCACCCAAAAAGAATGGTATTGCAGAACGCAAGCATCGTCATAAATCTGAAATGGGTTGCACTCTACTTCTCATAGCCAATCTTCCTCATTATTTATGGGCTGAAACTTTATGTATAGCCGTGTATCTGATCAACCGTTTTCTCACCCCGATACTCCAATGGATTTCCCCTTACTAAAAATTATTTGTCAAAATTCCTGATTATTCAGTCCTCCGCACTTCGGGTGTGTATGTTGTCCTTTTCTAGGTGATTATACTACTAACAAGCTTCCACCTCGTTTTCTTGCTTATGTTTTTCTTGGTTACAGTGATCACCATCATGGTTATCAGTGCCTTCACCCTTCTACAGGCTGAGTTTACATTTCCCGACATGTTAAATTTAATGAAGTTGAGTTCCCATATTCTGATCATGTCCTTCATGGTTCATCTGCTCATTCAGACATGGCTTTCATTCTGCTGCAGAATCTTGGGCTTACTCATGAGCCCTCTCTTGAGATTCCTTCAGGCAAAACATCGAATTCTGATCCAGGTGCCGAGTCCCAACATGACATACATGCACCCTCATTGGCCCTTCAACCAAGCAGGCCCTCCATTCATGCAGAACCAGAGTCCTCTCCCTCCACCAATCCTCATGCCATCGATGCTCATAATTCATCATCTGTTGAGCCCGTTGCCCCTACGAACACCATTTATCTGGTATTTTCAAGCCCAATATACAAAATTATTTTGCTACTAAGTACTCGCTTCCTCTTGCCTTCACAACTATGTTGGACTGATATGGAACCTGTGTGCTACACTCAAGCCTCTCGATCTCCTTATTGGCAACAAGCTATGGTTGAAGAGTTTAATTCCCTTATTAAGCAAGGCACTTGGACTTCGGTTCCACCTCCACCCCAAGTCAACATAGTTGGATGTAAATGGGTTTTCAAAATCAAACGTCATTTCTGATGGTCGTATTGATCGTTATAAAGAACGTCTAGTCGCTAAGGGTTATCATCAACAAGCAGGACTTGATTATTCTAACACCTTTAGCCCTGTTGTGAAACCGACTAGCATTCGCATTATTTTCAGTCTTGTTGTTTCTCTTGGTTGGCCACTGCGTCAATTGGATGTTAAAAATGTCTTTCTTTATGAGGCTCTCTCTAAGGAAGTCTATATGTCTCAACCACTCCCTCTCGCCCTCACCATATATATTGACTTCATAAAGCAATCTATGGTTTAAAACAAGCACTTCATGCCTGGTTCCAACGGTGCAATTCTTTTCTCCTAGCCTACGGTTTTTCCTAGAGCAGATCTAAAGCCTCCCTATTCATTTTTCATACTGAGATGCACACCATATTTCTAATGTTATATGTGGATGACATTGTTCTCACTGGTAGCCATCCCTCTCATCTATAGTCCTTTATTCACACATTTGGTAAAGAATTTGAGATGAAAGATCTTGGTAGGCTACGTTACTTTCTGGGTGTTGAGGTTGCCTATGGATCTCGTGTGCTCTTCATCTTACTCAGACAAAGTACACCCTTGATATCTTGTAGCGTGCTAATATGCTTGATTCGAAACCATGTTTTACTCTCATTGCTTCCAAGATAGGTCTTTCTTATGACGTTGGCCCACGTCTTTCTGACCCCTCTATTTATCGTCAATTCGTTGGTGCTCTTCAGTAGTTGACCCTCACACGACCGGATATTTCCTTTGCAGTTCAGTTTGTCTCTCAATTCATGCTGGATCCTCGCATAGACGCTGTCAAACATATCTTACGCTATCTCAAAGGGATTGTTGGTTTTGGTCTTCCACTTCATCATACACCCTTCTCATCTCCTCTCCTCTCCATGTCTACTGTAATGTTGACTGGGCTAGTTGCCTTGATACTCGATGTTCCACTACGGGCTATTGTGTTTTCTTCGGTCCTAATATGATTTCTTGGAATGCAAAGAAACAACGTACTGTATCTCGTTCAAGTGCCAAGGCTGAATATCGCACTTTTGCCTATACATGTGCCGACGTTATTTGGATTCAAAGGTTACTTCGTGAATTACGGTTTCCTCTCCATCTTCCCGTCTTCCTTTACCGTGACAATTTGAGTACAACATACATGGCGGCGAATCCCCTTTTTCATGCTCGCACTAAACATATTGTCCTAGATTACACTTTGTTCGAGAGAGCATTGCCTCTGATAGTCATTGCGTTCAATTTTTACCTTCCATTGATCAACTTACTGATGTCTTCACAATGGGTTTATCCAAGGATCAATTACGTCTCTTGTCCAACAAACTTGTCTCGTCACCCGAGTCAAGTTTGCGGGGGAGTGTTAATAAGGTTCCCTAAAGATACAACACCCGACAACTTTTCCTTAAGACCTACCATAATTCACTCGTGTTTACATTGTAAAAGTAGATTCCTCGTCATTAGCAATTATTGCATCTTTGTCAATATATACGTTGTAATTCAATATTGGAAATCCATCAATGAGAATAAGTTTCCACGATATCCTAATAGCAGTAGCTATATGTGATAGTAAAGCGTAACTTATATAATATTCCCATAAACTTTCCTTTTTAATTTTGGGTTCAATTAAGAAATTAGCTTTCCTTTTATGAATTATAGAGCTTCTAAATATTATAGCATGGAAACAGGTTGTGAAAGCAAAATCTTATAGTTGAAGGCTATGTAGTAGTATGGACACTCCATCAGGCTGAAATGTGGGGGTGTCAAACACGCGGACATGCCTCGGACACGACTTGAACACGGGTCAACAGTCAAGACACGTTTTGGACACGGTCAACTGAAGTCAAGACATGGCAGGGACCATTTTAAAAATTATAAAACACAAACTGAGGTCAAAACATAATTATTGGAAACTATGTAGACATATTTGAAATCTTTTTCAAAAGTGGGCTAAAATTGTAAACAATGTTTTTTAAAAATATGTTTTTTTTTCTTTGTTCCTTCATACTAGAGCTGATATTTTTGGTTGACTAAGGATATTGATAGCAATTTGGTCGTGAGAGAATCATCTTTTTGAGTGGGTAATTCGTTCACTTTGTTTCTTTTTATTTTTTATTTTTTTATTTATGAAAACTCGATTCTTATTTTATGAAGTGGGAAATCGTTTTTCTTATTTTGAAGATGATAGATCATATACGAAAAATGTGTAAAATTTGGTTTATGATGAATTATGAATATGTGTGAATAAATATGTGTATTGTTCTTTATTTTGTTTAGGGAAAGATGAATAATGCTAAGTTAACTCAAATAAGTATGAATTTGTTTTATGATATTATGACATTGAAGTATTGAGTATAATTTTTTTAAATATATATAAGTATATACTATTATAATTTCATTAAGATTTATTATTATTTTAATTGTCTTGTCCTAACCATGTTTGTATCCTAATTTTTTTAGATTTTCCGTATCGCCACATCGCGTTTTCGTGTCCGTTCAACATAGGCTGAAGGATTTAAACATGTGTATGTGTTAGCAACAAATAGAAAAAGGGGCCATTGTCATATCAGGACATATTGGAGCTCATGAAGTTAAAAAGGGACTTGGGTCTTGGCTAAAGAGAGGAGGGATTTTTTTAAATTTTTACTTATTTATAGACAGACTATAATGAGGAATTTAGAGTGAAGAGCTTATTTGAAAAGTTCAATTCCACCATCAACACATGTAAGAAAATCAATGGACTTAAACATTTTAAATAGTTTGATGATGAAACTGAACCCTTCAAATAAGTTCCTCACTCTAAACTCCTCATTATAAAGACTCCCATTTTCTTTTACCTTGGGGGATACAACGTGCTGGGATTGGATGATACTAGTTGGGCTTTTTTTAATAAGCCTTGGGCTATATAGGTTAGAGAGGTTTTCTAGAAATTTGGGTCGGGCTCCAGCCCTACCTAGACAGGGCTGGGCCCGTGCCTTCAAACGCAAACAAGAATAACCAACTTACGAACGAAATACAGAAAATAACTTTTCATCATGAATTAGCAACTTTCTTTAAGGTTATCATATCAATAAGAGGGCTGATAGACACCGTACAAATCACTTCGTATTTTCGGTCCAAAAAAAAAAAAAAAAAAAAAAAAAAATCTTTGTATTTTCACTCCCCGTCACTGCAACCTGACCTTCATTCTTGGATTGGCGTTCCGCATAGGTATATATGTTTCAAAAATTTACAACTCAAATAACAAATCAAAGAACAAATCAAAGCATAGACGAGCAAATTTTTACGACATTTCTCCACCACACATACAAAACATTGGGAAGTAGGCCTTCTTTCAACCTACAAGATAATAACGACATGTGCGTTAGTGTTTGTGCATTCCATGTTCCCACTGTTAGTACCTACGTCTACCATATCATATCACATTCAGTTAATCGGTTCGTAGGACTTTTATATGATGCGTCTGGCATTACGCTAAATGAACCAAATGTGAGAAAACTTTCACATATGCAACTGCTGAGAAAACTCACATATGCAACTGCAGTTTTATCTACAATCCATGAATGTCTCAAGGGGATACACGATAAGTTGATAACTAAGTATTTGTGATGAAAGAAAAATATGAGCCTACCTGTAGTTTGAGAAATACTAAAACATATCCCTCTGCTCCTCCTTTATCACAACATATACTTATCTCTTGAAAACAAATTCTGGGGGCTATCTCACTTCGTTAGATATCTTTATGTAATCCAAGAGCCTTTTTAGAGCCTTTCCACTATCAATAGCTTCTCTGGCTCTATCTAGGGCCACATATATGTCTTCTGCACCATCACATCCAAGTAAGTGATCAACCATTCCAGCATTTAAGACTATTCTATCATAAGCTGGTCCCCTGTTACCACGAAGTGCTGTTAAGCCCAACTCTATATTCTTCGAGACCTAAACTTGCAGAAAATGTAATTATTTGTCATAAAAACCCTGGATTGTTAAAAATGAGGGAAAGGAGAGGGACGGGGGATCAAGGAACTGTACCGATCTATCAGTTCTTGGAGTGTCAGTGGGTTCAAAACCATAGTCTCTGGCATTAACCTCTAGACTAAAACTCTCGCGTGAAACCCCTGCAAACCAACTTTCAGGCTTCAGTTTCAATGGTAGGAACTTGATGCATGAACCTCAACATTTGAGCAGCAACATGAATACTTAAAAAGCTTAAAATTGGAAATTACAACCATTTGAAAAAATGAACACAGAACATAAGATGACTTAAAGAACAAACCATCAACTTCACAAGCAGATGCCATGCTCAGTGAGCGGAACCCTGAACAGTAGTTTACAGGAATTCCTTTTGATGAATTTGCTGATCGTAATCTCGTTGTCATCGAGAGGGCTCCTTCCTCACCCTTCAATAACAGTAAAGTCAAGATTAGTTTGTGTGAATAACTCAGTTGATGTAGAAATTCTGAACTTATTTCTTTACTTCTTAACTATATTTATGATTTCGAATAGCATATTATCATTGAGTTTTGTGATTAAAAACAGGAGTTGTGATTAGCATTGCAAAATAGTCATCATTCACTCATCCCTTTCTTATTTTTTTACATTGGGGAGTGTACGATGACTATTTTGGAGTGCAAACAGCTGCCTAAGAAAATAACAAATTTTCATATTTGAATGTTCATACACTTCTTGCATAATTGGCAAAGTTCCAACCTTCACAACCAAGCCAGAATTAACACCTCTTCTTTTCATAAGCATTAAGAGCGGCTCCTCATAACCTTCATGATAAAATCCAGTAACAATTGCTTCCTTCCCACGGGCCTGTGGAGAAAATAATACATATTTCACTATGTAAAGTGCAGCAGAAATTTTCATGTTAATGCTAGGAACTTGTCACTTTAATCAACACAGAATATGGCATGTACACATTATGTCACTATGGTATATTGTTGATGCCAACTAATGTTTAAGAAATTAAAGTACATAAATCAATTGTATGGAAGTCAAGTATTGAGATAGTAGATGCATCCTAGACTTCTCTGCATCGAAATGCCAGTCAAGGATTTCTTCAACATTTTCTTAGGAATAGCACGGATAAAAAATTACTAAAACATTTATAGAGCAAAGAATGATGTGACAGACCTTCACAAATTGCTGAACCTTTTCGGTTGTTGCCAGTGGGGGGCGTTTCTTAATATGCTCTCTCAACTTAACTAATGAATACCTGCACAAATCATAGAATTCTTGTTATCAGCTTCATCCCAATTAGAGTACTTACTAACCAGAGCATGCCAAATAGCTAGAGATTCACACAGAGAAGGGCGGGCTTCACGTTGGCTTATATAGGCAAAACCAATTTTGTCATCCTGAAATAATGAATTAAAGAATTTAACCACAACCCAAAAGACATTAAAAAGAAAAGAAAATGAGTAAGCATAGCAAGAAATCTGTTTATGAGAACCACAGATACCTCAAGAAGTATTTTTGCCTGCAATGGGGTTAAGCTTGTATTTGCCCCCATAAACTTAAGCATTTGTTCTTCAGTAACACCTCCCTAAAAAACAGAAACATTATTACTCGAGCCTTATTATTTTCCATTATCTAGTCAATGAGTTGAGCAGAGCTGAAAGCTCACCTTGGGTGGCATCCATTCCACGCCATGAAGCAAGGAAGATTCAGCATAGCAAGATCGAACCGCAGCAACAAACAACGTGCTCCTAAAGAAACGTGTGTTTCCATCATAAGGTTCGCCATAATGAGTGAGAGACTTAACATCAGCAATTGGAGTGGCACCTAAATACATGAACAGTTCATCCTCCGAAAAATAAAGGAAAAACTAATCGAGATAATAATAAGACTAGAGCTTACCAAGTTCATCATCAAATGCAAGGCAGTAAGCTTTCAACTCGCGGTCAGTTTCTCTGTTCATACGCTGGCCTATCAACAATGCCGAAAGCAATGCTTCACTTACACCTGTGGACGTCCCATCCTCCATTGATTTCAATGGAAGAACATCTCGCAGAACACCTTGAACTTCTTCAAATCCAAGGTGGCCGCCGGCCAAAACCTCCCGGAGGACACCGACCAATCTCATCTCCCTCGTGCCGTTACCGACGAATTGGGGCCCAATTGAGCTTCCCGTGCCCATTAACGAGCCTTCCGGGTCGGCTATGAACACCACGTCCGCCGGAAGGGCTCGAACCAGAAGCGGCCAGAACTGGTTCATTGCGCGACTCTCGCCTTCGCTCCATTGCGTCCCTTCCGGAAAAGCATTAGCGCGAATTGCCATCGCCGCGAAAAATGCTCCGAGCTGTGATTTCGACACCGGCTCTTCATCTATCAGCTCTCCCTTGACTGATCTGTATATGGTGTCGAGAACCTTGAAGGCCTGGTCTTCTCCGAGAGGTCTGGTCTGGGTGGGGCCGGTGCAAACCCTAGCCTGAGCGTCCAGCACCGTCTGGTTCGGCTTCGGAAGATTAGAGCTCCGATACGACGAAGAAACCGTCGGATTTCGGATATCGATCTCTGAAATCCCTGATTGATCGATCCTGACCGAGTCCAATGTGGCTCTGGTGGTCAAGGCTAGTCTTCTTCCGTTGGAAAGGTGGCCGTTGTTTGCAGGGAGCTTGAGGAATGCTTGGGTATGAGAGTGAGTGAGGTTTCGAGGTTTGGCAGTGGAAATGGAAGATATGGAGGTGAAAGCGGAAGGTTCTGGATTGAGAAGAGCTTTCATGGTTGATTTTTGGCAGCTGTGTTTTCTTCTTCTTCTGCAGCTGCTGCTTACTTGGGGAGGGTCGCAAAACTGGCGATAGCATTGATGTTTTCAATGCACCCCAACTCCTTTTGTTTATTTATTAGTTTTCTCAACGTTCAAAGCTTACCCTTTAAGCTGACAAATATAGAAGCCGCTTTTAAAAATTTTAAAAAATAAAGATGACTAGATATTTTAAAGACTAAATAGGTATAGCTTTATAAAAATAAACGCACTCTAATGATATTTTATAAAATACTCTGTAATGTTATATTTTTAAGTGAAAAAAATTGTAACACACACGGGCAAGGCTAATTGAGGGTTTTTTTTTCTTTCTCAAATTATGCTATGTCATGTTAAAATGAGTTCATTTATAAAAATTCTTACGTTATATACAAAAGATAAGATAAAAATAAATAAAACAAACAGATGAAAATAGAGTAATTATGTGGTGTTAGTTAAAATGTGATTGTTTTAGTTAATTAAGGGTATTCATGATTTTCTAAAGTTTCACTGTTTTAGCATCTTCTTTTTAATATATTGAAATATATATATATATATATATAGATGTAATCACGAAAATGATGTGATATTATAAAATACAAAAAGTCATCACTTAAAAAAAAAGAGGGTGTCCTATATAACTATAAATTAAAAGAATTAAAAAGTGCAGTGGGATAATGTCTTGTTCTCTCTCTTTAAGCGGAGGATGCCTGTAAATAAAGAGATGCATATTTTCTTTTGAAAATAGATGAATGAAAATTTAAAAACACATTGTGCATGTGGTTTCTTAGTTAATGAGAATGACTTCATATGTGAGTTAGTTAATGTAAGGAATCAAGATGAAAATCCTAGTCCCCACTCTCTCAAAAAACACTCTATATCCGTTTTCACTTTGAGGGGGAGGAAGTTATTGTTTTTCCTCCCCTCTCGCCTTATCCCTTTATTCATTCTTCTATTTTCCCCAATTTTTAGACACATAAGGTTTCTCTTATTTGTCTTCTTTTTGTAATGATTTCCCTCCACTCATTACAGGCGGATGCATCTCGGCATCGGATCTCCACTTGCGTTTCAGTGTTGAATCTTTACTACTATCTTTTTTATGGTTTCTTTATGTTCAAAATAACTCACAGAGACTCTTTGGGTTTTCTGTGTAGTTTTCACCTATCTTTTGTGAGAGTTTTCCACCTCTCCTTTGTGAGAGTTTTATTTGTATTGTTATGACTTGGTTTTTTCAAACTTTATCTAGTTTTGGTTATTCTGAGTTTGCTTCTTTAGTTGGCATGCCTATGCTAAAGTTTCTTCGATCATGTGTGATTGTTAATGAAGGACCCCGAATTGTTTTAATTTTTATGTTAGATCGCTACGTTATTGTAATGGCTATTTGTGGCTAGTGACTTTTTTGACTGAATTATAAATGTAATCCCAGAATTTCTCAAAAAATGTAAAGAATTAAGTAATTTTTGTACCAATGGACCTAAGAGGAACCTACTATCTATCCAAATCATATATCGATATTGTCCTTACCTTAATTACCTAGTATAATATTGGGCTTCTTAGATCCAGTTCCAAAACGATTAGCTATCATTGGGTTTAGTCCTCGCGTTCTTTGTTTTAGATGTAGGTCCTTTGACATTTATTGCTCTTTTTGTTGTGTTGATTTTACCCTTTGAGGTAAATAAGGAAAACACATTGAAAATCTAAATTTAATGCATTATTTCCTTGTAATTGAATTCCAGAACTTAAATTTTGAATTCTTTCCTTGACAATATTCCTAATATATGGATAAAATACAATTTAATCAATAAAAAGTAAAGACTCACATATTACACCAAAAGACTAGACAAGCACCCACATTAAATTATGTACGTGACATATAGGTAAATAGTGTTATTATTAGCAATGAAAAATACTTAGTGATAAATCGTGTTACCTCTAAGTTAGGAACATAAATTAGAAGACGACCTATAAGTCAGATACAAAAATAGACAAAATAAAATTGTATGTTACCTGTAAGAAAAAAGGTACATAAAATACTTTTACACATTGTCAAAATTAATGAAAAAACATATACATATGCAATAGGCAATGGGTAATATGACATAAATGACTATTACCCGATTCAAGTCATAAGGGGCAACATTGGAACAAAAAATGATTGTAAAAATAAAATAATAAAAAGATTACATCATAAAATATTTATAAAAAAAAGAATATAATTTTATGTGGCACAAAAGTCAAATGACTGAGATCAAAGTCATAAAATCCGATGATTAAACCCAACTACGTTTGGATGAGGGAAATAAACTAGGGATTTTGATCAAAGTCAGAATTTCTAAATTAATATGAACCTATTCCCGTGTTTGGATAAAAATAAAAAAAATTTAAAAAAAATTTAGAAATTCCGCGTGGGAAACAACATGGAATTTGGATATCATAAATCCTAACTTTAAATTCTATTTAAAAGTTGTCATTTCTAAAATTTCAAGAGAGATTGAATTTTTAAAACATATCAATTTACAAATAAAGGTTAAATTCCGTGTTTTAAATCGGTCACCAAAACAAGAAACTTTACCATTTCTAGAACATTAATTTTCTTCATTTATGAAATCTTTTCTACTTTTAAATTTCTTCATCCAAACTCAATAAAAATTTCTATGTACATCAACTTTTCTATATAATATTTGGGTTTGGTTGTTTCGCTAAAAGCCCTTGTACCACCTTGCTCGTTAGGATTTTATCGAGCCTAGCTCCACCTAGTTGGTTGCTTGAGTCACCTTTTGAATATGTAAATGGGTCCACATTGAACCAACTGCCTTTGCCAATTGGATTAAAAACCCTATTCCAAGCAACAAATTTACCTCACCTGAAAATTAATTAATTAATTGAATATCACAGGGGACCATGGACGTCTAAAAAGTGCGCGGGACCCAGTACACAAGCAAATACAGACCAGTGTGTGTCCATATACAATACAAACAAATGGCGACCCAGTACGAACAAATGGCAGGCACTCTTGCTTTCTTAACAAGGAAACGCAGAGAGAATAAGCCGGTGAAAATGGCTTTGAGCGACGCTAGAGAGCGGTGGGAGGTCCATTTCTCTCGCTTCTTCGGCTACCCTCCTATCAGCTCCACGTGTCCCGATCTCGTCCCTCTGCCTACCAAGGTCAGAAATCGACGGCCAGCTGGCAACTGGGTCTCCTCCTCCCTCCCAGCTCTTCTCCAGCTTGTTCACGACCAGTCCATCTCCGAAGTCCTCCTCACTGTGTGTTTTAGTGGCAAGGTTGTGGTGAGTCCACCTTGTCTCGCTTATACCTTCTCGTCTTGTTCATTTTCAGCTGTAGATTCCGTTTGGTTGCTGAGAAAACCAAGGAAAATCGGAGCTGGATAACTAGGAATTCAAATCCAAGTAACTCATGCTTGATTTTTTTAAATTAGATATCTAAAATGCTTGAACACAAGTTGTCCGAATAAAATGTACTAATTTTTATGATTGTTCCCAATCTAGATACTAATATAACTTAAGAGGCCTTTTTCTGTGGCTCGCTCAATATGTTATTTCTTTTGTTCAGAGTGGCATATTTTATTTGATAAATCTTTGAGTGATTATGATTGAACATGTTTCAGGAGGAGCACTATGTTTCCAAGCTACAGTTTGTCTGGCCTCAGGTCTCATGCAACCCTGGATTTCCTGCCAGGGGTACTCGAGTCGTGTTTATCAGCTACAGAGATTGTGTGGGCGAGGCAAGCTGCTCAATGCTTTTTTTTTCCTTTTTTTTTGTGTGTGGAATTTATTCATATATAATAACTGAATTTCATTTGTGATGGGCATTCTCTCTTATTTGGGGCTAAAATCTCACAATGTATTGTTTCCAGGTCCAGAAATTTGCCTTGCGATTTTTGTCAGTCGATGAGGCACAGAGATTCATGAATTCGTTGAAGGTGAAGCCATTATTCAAATAGTGTACAGTGTGTTATTTGAATATAGATTTCATAAAATAAAAAATAAAAAATAAAAAAAAAGGAAAAATGTACAATGTTCATTGCCATGCTACCATCACAGACTACTTAAGCCTCTGTCTTGCAATGGTGAGTGGTGTAAAGATTGGTTTGTTTTTCAGGAGATCTTCAACATAGGGAGAGATATTGAACCTCTCAATATTGACATGGGATCTGAAATTTCCGCAGAGTCTGAGTTCATGTCTTCTAATATACCCCTCAGCCGGTAAAAACAAAACTGGCTATCTCCTAAAATTCTTCATTTTTCCCCTTGCAGGGGCTATATGCTGCCAATAAACATGTTGAGGAGAATCTGTAATAGTGTTTTGCTGTGTTTTCAGGGTTTCCACAGACTTGAATATCATGCCTCCGTCTCAGACTTGTACTACTCAAATATCACCAAGCCTGAATAATCAAGCTAAGCCATACTTGCGTACTCAGGAAGTGAAAAATATTCATAACTTCCAGAGAAACTTTCCAGCCTTTCCTCCAGGTTTCACCTCAATGCTGAGTGACTGTCACCCTGCTGTTGAACAAGGTAAATTATTTTATACATAGATTTATTTTCTGCCAGTTCAACAAGATAGATTGTTTGCCTCAGCAGTAAACAGGAAAGTTTATTCTGATCCCATGTGAAGAACCATTTTTCATGATTGAATGATGTAGGGGAAGCAAAATCAACTGTATCAGAGGCAGTCAATCTCAACTCCCAAATCTTGGCTCCTAGTTTCACCTCATGGCTTAGCAACTCTCATCCTGTTGTAGAACAAGGTAGATTCGACGCCTTAGCAGTAAACACTTCTGATTCCATGTAACGAACCATTTTTCTTGATTGAATGATGTAGTGGCAGCACAATCAACCGTATCGCAGGAAGTTGTATCACAAGAAGTCAATCTCATATCCCAACTTGCGGTATCTTTTCTATTGCTTTTAACTTGTTGGTCTTAGAGAATGTTCTTGGTCAGTATAATAATGTAATGTTTATTGCAATGCCTTTGTAAACAGACTATTTGCATATAAGAGTATTTGATGTTTTGCAAAACTACTGATGTATTAACGTACAAGTTTGTTATGTTGCAGAGATATGGGAGAGATGCTTCCTTCCAAGGTAGGTTCTATTTTTACTTCTTCTTTTTTCCTGATCAATCCTTTTAAGGTAAGCTATGTTCTGCAAATTAAATCTTGGTGCAAACTTGTTATGCCTGATGTGCCATATCTGTCTTTATTACTTCTTCAATGGCAAACAACTTTGTTCATCGTGTTATTAAAAATTCATATTCTGCTTTTTGTCACTCAAGTTGGAGCTTGCTGGTTCCTACCTGTAGATTGTCACTTTAGTTTGATGTGTCTACACAATAACAATCTGAACACCACCAGATTCAGAAGCTGCTAATATCTGAAATTGATTAAGCACTACCATCTTTGGATAAAAAGTATTTTCCATATATCTTATTACCTGAAATGCTAATTTTTTTCTGATTCTTTATTCCTGCCCTGTTATCTCCAGATATGTTGACTAAAATGGAGAGAGTTATCCATGAAATGGGGGGTGATTTGACACTGTAGTTGTTCATGGCCATGTATCATCTAAATCAGTTAGCATTCTTCTCTGGTTCTTCCTGACTTTGATCCCCATTTCTCTGATTTTTGAATGTATCGAACCGTACTCAAGTTTCTTATAATAGGGTTTTATAGCTAAGTGGAATCCTACAATAGCTGTCTCTGAAATTTTGTCTTTAAAGCTTCGTCATTTTATTGTTTCAATAATTAGCAAACCTTTTGCAGGTCCTCCGGGATATTCTTTAACCATTTTTATTTGATCACTTTTTCGTTTAATGATATGATTTGTATTCACTTTGTAATAGTTTTTTGCTTATTGAAATATCATATATGAGGTGGATTTGTGATGCTATTGTTTATTTGTCTTAATCTTAATCTTAAACTTCAATTTTTATTATTCATTATTTCTTTTGTTTAGTTAGTAATGCATCATGCTTGTACATGTCAAACAAATACCTTGGTAATAAAAGACTTATAACAACCACTCAAGGAGACTCAACTTCTCAACCACAAAACACCATCCGAATGCAATACTTACCCTCACAAAGATGAATCAATAGCGGAGTGAAGCGAATTTAAGGATCTAATTCAATCCGCCAAACTTATTGACATTGATCAATTTTTAATTGGAGTGTATTAGATTGATTAATTTTGGTGGATTGGATGCGATTTTGAACAGTCCAAAAAAAAAGGTACAGTTTTACACAAGAGAATACTGTAAAGAATACATCATTCTTCTACTTATTTATAAAATTTTAAATTTATATTAGTTTTTTCAAACAGATTAAAAATGCCATTGCAAATTTGCAACAAATTACAATGGGCGTCACCTGATTTGATGAAATGGATCAAATACAGTTTTAAAAATAATAAGTTAATATTAAATGGAAAAATAGTTTCACCAAATGGGCAAGTGTAGTAACCAAGATTACAAAAAACGCGCGGGACGTGACGACCCAGGTCTAGCATAGACCAATCATACAGCGACACCTGTCCGTTTGTTCATATAAATTCATGGCAGCCTGAATTCGTACTTGATCTTTCTCCCCTCCAGTTCGAAATTTCGAATTTCGTTGCGATGGACCCAAACCAAGGCGGAGAGAAGAAACAGAGAAGAAAGAGAAAGAGCCTGAAAGAAATGGCCCGCTCTCTGGCTGTGGTACCATGCGAAAGCGTACAGTCGATTCAGACGAAGCCGACGACGGCGACTGTGAGCGCCGTTAGGGAGCAGTGGGAGGTCCACTTCGCTCTCTTCTTCCCCTATCCTCCTCCTCCGATCACCTCCACGTGTCCCGATCTCGTGCCTCTGGATCCCAAGTACAGAAGGCGACGGCCACTTGACCGCTGGATCTCTTCCTCCTCCTTAGCTCGGCTCCAACTTGCTCGCGATCATTCCAACTCCGACGTCGTCCTCACCGTCGGTTTCGCTGACAAGATTCTGGTTGGTCTACGCTGCCTCCTTTACCTTCTCGTCTTGTTGATTAGATTTGCTCTTTGAAATTTTCTTTCAATTGTTGATTTGCGTTTGGTTGCTGAGAAAACTAAGGGAAAGCGAACTAAACTAGTAGTACGAATTAAAATTCTAGTATCTTTCGCGTGTCTACATATCACGTCTCCACTGTGACCAAACAGCGCTGAGAATTTATATGAACTTTTTTGGTGAAGAATTTATTTGAATTTGAATGGCGTGAGCAATGAATGATATAATGCAGAGAATGTGATATTGTTTTAAATGTTTCGATCCTTCTGAAATATTCAATTTTCTATATTATTACAAGTTTTTTTTTCCTACAACTGTACGGACACTGTGAGTTCATTGCGGCCTAGCTCTTTTACATTTCCTGGTGATTGGAAGCATTATTTAACGATCTGAATAATCACAATTTGACATTGAAGTAAGGCAGAAAAAACTATGATAATCGCGATTCTGGAAGATAGAAAAGTTAAGAGGAAGTTGGTGATTTGTTAATTAAATAGCATGCTGTTGTTTAGCGCATTACTGAGCGTTGGATTGTTTGTACAGTAATTTCAATTTTCCGGTTTGTTCAATGCGATAGAAGGTTGTGTAGTTATTTTTACAAGTAACAACTCTTTGAATTGTTATAATTTGGTATGATTCAGGAGGAGCACTATGTTTCCAAGCTACATTTTATCTGGCCTCAGGTTTCATGCATGTCTGGATTTCCTGCCAGGGGTACCAGAGCCATCTTTGTCAGCTACAGAGATTGTTCAGACGAGGCAAGCTGCTCACTCTTTGTTTTAAATATAAATACGTTTAAATTTCAGTTTTGTGTATGATACGCTGTATCTGTTATTTTTAGGCTACATGGGACAAAATAATTCGAAACTCACAATGTTCTTGTGTTGCATCTTCTTTGCAGATCCAGAAATTTGGTTTTCGATTTTTGTCTCTCCATGAGGCAGAGAAATTCATGAATGCTTTGAAGGTGAAGCCATTACTGTCAGAAGTTTGAAGTGTGTTATTGTAATATAGATTTCATAAAGAAAAAAGGGAACACGTATTATGCTCATTGTCATGCTACTGTGGAGAAGAGCTTTTTCGTTTATCCTGCGATGTTGGTGTTATATGCTTGGCCCATTTTTCAGGGTATCTGCAAGGAAGGGATGGATACTGAACCTGTTAACACCGACGTTGGATCTGAAATTTCATCAGTGTCTGAGCTCACGTCCTCTAATAGACCCCTCAATCCGTAAAATCAAAACTACAATCTCCTAAAATACTTCATTTTCCCCTTAGAGTAGATATATTTTTTCCATAAACAAGTCGAAGAGAAGTGGTGATAGTGTTTTTCTGTGTTTTCAGTGCTTGCAAGGACTTGACTACCATGGCTCCTGTTCAGACTTATACGCCTAAAATATCACCCAGCTTGTTGAATAATGAAGCTGAGCAATACTCATGCACTCAAGAATTCACGCCTATTGATAACTTCCAGAGCAACTTTGCAGCCTTGCCTCCAAGTTTCACCTCATTTCTGAGCAACTGTGGCCCTGTTGTTGAACAAGGTAGCTTTTATTATTATTATGAAATTTTCTTTTTTGGGGATAATTGGCCCAGGTAGATTGGTTGCCTTGAAAGTAAACTGGAAAACTTTTTCTGATTGCATTTGATGACTGATTAACCATTTTCCTTGATTGAATGATGTAGTGGCAACACAACCAACTGGATCACAGGAAGTCGATCTCAAATCCCAAATCGCGGTAGCTTTCTTAACGCTTTAATTTGATGGTCTTAAAGAAAGTTATTGGTCAGCATAATGTGCAATGTTATGTTGTGCCTATTAATGCATGGATTTATTGCAATGCTATTTCTGTCAACAGTGTATTTGCGTACAAGAGTTATTGATGTGTTCTGCAGAAGTATTGCCAATGTATTAACATAAATGTTTTTTGTGTTGCAGAGATATATGGAAGATGCTTCCTTCCAAGGTAGGTTCTAGTTTTATATAAATAATATTTTTTCTGATGAATCCTTTTAAGCTAAGTAATGTTCTGCAAATGAAACATGTTGTTGCAAGCTTGTTATGCCTGATGCCATATCTGTCTTTGTTCCTTGCTCATGGCAAACGACTTTGTACATCACATGTAGATAATAACTTAAGTTTGATGTCTGTGCTAAACATTTGAACACCGTCACATTCAGAAGCACAATCATCTCTGGACAAATTTTCTTGGTATATTCCTTTTACTTGAAATGTTAATTTGTTTCTAGTTTCTTTCCTTCTTCCCTGTTATTTCCAGATATGTTGTTTCAAGTGGAGAAAGTCATCAGTGAAATAGGAGGCGATTCGATGCTGTGATTGTTCATGGCCCTGCATTAGCGTTTCCTTTCCGGTTGCCCAGCCAGGAGGTGGGATTTTGTCACCTACAGCCCAAAACACGTTCTTATTCAAATGATATCGTGGCAATAACTGTGTCTCTTTTTCTTTAATGCAAATCTTTTGCATGTCTTCTGCTACACTCTAACATTTTCAATTAAATTTATTACTTTTATTTTATTTTAATTTTGTTTGACCAGTAGTGGATGTATATGTTAGACAAATTAATGCACATTAGTCATAAGGGTTTACGTTAATTATATTGTCATTGTGTCTTGGCTATTTATGATCCAGAATTAAAACCAATCAAGAAATCATTTGACAATTATAATAATTGGTGTAAACTTGCAACAAGCTTCGTCCTCCAGGCCAAGACACAATTGATGACAAAAAAGATTTCCTAGGTAGCTATAGTGGGTTAAAGGCCCGGCAGTTTTTCCTTATCTCTCCATTCTCTCCAGTGAGAACATTGATTCTCCCCATCTTAATCATGGCCCTAACAAATCTTTGAGTCCAAGAATCAGCACTAGCAGCCATCCTCATCACCATAGCGTTGGTGCGAGGATCAGTAACCAGAGCCTGATCCGATTGAAGCAAGGCTTTCCCTTGCATCAGGTTCGCATAGTATTGGTTGTCTAGGACGAGTGGTGATATGGGATCGAAGTCGACAACCCTCTTTTTGGCCTCGGCTTCAGGCAATGTGTTGGGTGCAGGGCACTTTTGAGACAGATCAGCAGCATATAATGGGTCCAGGGCAGGGTCTTGGGCTTGAGTTTGGTCGTAATTGTAGAGCCTGTAATCAAAGAAGCTGCAGTGGGCAGCGCCAATGGAGTGTGCACCAGACAAGACAACCACTTCGTCAGAAGTCATGCCTCTTCTGCCGAAGTAGTCTATGATCTCGTTGAGGGGTGTCGCAGGACCAGGAATGGTGACGTCAGTAGCGCGGGAAGTACGGCTGTCACGACGGCCTGCGGGGACTTTGTGACGTGGTAGGCCGGAGAGAGCCACGGCTTCCCGAGCAACAAATGCTAAAATGTCAGCGCAAGAGACGGTTTCTGGACACTCTGCCTCTAGCCTGGCCTTGATCTCGTCAATGACTTCCAAACCTCTGATCTCAACATTGGCTGGTGATTGCATCTCAACAGGCTCATGAGAGGGCGTTGAATCCAACAGAATTGAGGCATCGCACCCCTGTACATACACACATTGTTTCGATAATCATGAATTAATTCGTACGTAAACAATGATGCTAGAAGCACCAACTCGTAACGGAATACTTACCTTGACAAAGCAATCATGGGAAAAGAGTCGAATGAAGGCAGCGGGGAGCTTTTTGTCTGCCTCCACAGCCTTGGACACAACGTCAGCCACAATTTGCTCCGCATTGGGACATCTGAGCCCGTAAAATCCAACATGCAAGCCGTTGCCTTGGCCTTTCTCAGCTGCCTCCGAACAAGGAATGATAAAGATGGTGCACAAGGTGAAGGTGAAGATTATTGTCGCGAGACTCATCTCCATGTTAAAATATTGGTGACTGTTTTTTTTTCACCAATACTTTTTTTCTTCTTCCTCTTTTTGCTACCACCACGATTTGGACGAGAGGCGGGGTTGCCTTATATACCATGCACAAACCGTGTAGTTATTTCCCTTGGATAAATACCACGAGGTGTCCCCACACTTAAAAGGGTGAGATTAATCCTCGCTGCTGTTGGTCTTTAAAATTGCAAGAGTCTAGAAATATTGGTTTTCTTTTTCTTTTCCTTTTTTCACAATTTGTTAGGGTGCTTGGTCAACCAACGGTCAATATATTGAGTTTTTATTAAAAATAGCCAAAATTTGACCCCTATTTTCATAAATCTCAATTTTTATAAAAACTTTCAAATATAGCAGAAAAGTCACATAAATAGACTTAAATACCCTTAAATCTAAAACTCGCAAAAACCTTAAAAACAAAAGAATCGTTCAGGGAATACTCATGATCTGTAGTGTATATTCCCAAAGTTCAATTTTTATTATGTATTGTTACGTTTTTTATTTCTTAATTTTTTTATTATTATAATTATTATAAAAATGCGAGATAGATTGATAACAAAACAAAATTGCAAAAGATCTTCCACTAAAACATCGTTGAAAACGTTCTACTGAGTTTTCTGGACTTGGAACAAAAAAAAGGCAAGACTTAACTAACTACTATTTGTTACAATACCAATCCGAAAACCATCATCCGTTAAAAAGCCGATCTATTTTCAACAAGATGAAGGACTGCTTGAATCACACATGTGGCATCCCCTTCTATTGCACCATTAAATCTTTATATCTTGAATCGGTGCACGTATAAAACCATTAAATTTTGCTGTAAAAATTTCTTTTTACTTGAATATTTGTTTACAATATCCAAAGATATTCACTATAACTTTACATCTTCCAAGTTTTCTCTAAGTTAGAGGTATGTATGCAAAACAAAAATATCAACCAAATGATCTAAATAAACTTATAAATTAAATATTCTCAAAGTTTTATCTAATAGGGTTTTGCCTTTCAGGTTTACGTGAGTTTTGTTTTGAGGGCATTTAAGTCTATTCAAGTGGATATTTGGCTACTTCTGAAATTTTTTATAAAAATTGACATTTATGAAAATATAAGTTATAAAAACTCCAATATATTATGCATACCTTACCTACATAACACATTCTCACGCCAACCAAACGGCACTATGAATTTAAACGGCGTGAGATGTAACATGGTGAAGGCAACGTGATCTTGTGCTAAATGTTTAAAACCATCTAAAAATACGTTTTAGCGAGCTTTCATGAGTGCTAGTAGGTGTGCACAGAAAATGCTCGATAGATGTCCTCAATTAGAGTGCTCAATTTTCCTCCTTGATTGAATGGTTCGTTTGCAGAGATATATATGGGAGATGCTTCCTTCCAACTTCCAAGTTGCAAGTTCCAAGGTAAGGTTCTATCATACACAAACCTAAAAATATATAGCACACTTGTCTGTCATGTCACTATAAATGACAGACATTACCTCCCATAGTTCATACCAATGTGTTATGTTCTAGATATCTAGAGACCTCCTTAGGCTAAATAACTAATAGTCAAATCAAATTTATAAAATCATTTAACAAAAAAACTTATAATTACAGACTAACTTACAGTAATTAAGCTTTGTCCAAGCCACAATGCAGAAATATTTTGTGTGTATCTTATAATATTTACATGTCTATATATCTCATCATTCCGTGACCTAATTATCTGATGAGAGATACATACAAGTTAATAAGTTACCCAACATGGGATGGTGACTTAAGTAGATTCGATACACTATAGTATATACACAATTATTTCTACACACAACTGACATTAAAAACTAAATTGCTCATCATAGTTGATTGCCCGACAATTTTTCCTTATCTCTCCAACATTTCCAGTGAGAACATTGGTTCTCCCCATCTTAATCATGGCCTTGGCAAATCTTCGAGCCCAAGATTCGGGATCCAAGGCAAACTGCTGCACCAATCCGCTGGTGCGGGGATCAGTAACCATTGTCTGATCCGACTGAAGCAAGGCTTTCCCTTGCAACAGGTTCAGGTAGTGGTGATTGTCCAGGACGAGTGGTGTTGTGGGATCTAACTCGACGGCTCTCTGTTTAGCCTCAGCTGGATTCAATGTGTTGGGTTTTGGGCACGTTTTAGACAGCTCAGAAGCATAGGATGCGTTGAGGGCAGGGTCTTGGGGCTGGTCGTTTTTGAAGGTGTAGAGTCTGTAGTCAAAGAAGCTGCAATGAGCAATCCCAATGGAATGTGCACCACTCAACACAACCATTTCGTCAATGGTGATGCCTCTTCTGGAGAAATAATCTATGATCTCATCGAAAGGTGTTGTAGGGTTAGGGATGGTGATGTCGGAAGCACGGGAAGTCCGACTGTCACGGCGTCCAGCGGGGACCATGTGACGTGGCAGACCAGCCAGAAAAACAGCTTCCCGAGCAGCAAAGGCTAGTATGTCAGCGCAAGAGACAGTTTGTGGACACTCCTGCTCTACCCTGTCCTTGATCTCATCAATGAGCTCATAACCTCTAAGCATTTCACTGGCTTGTGCTTGCTTCTCTACAGGCTCATGTGAGGCTGTGGCATCCAGAAGAATTGAGGCATCGCAGCCCTGTAATGTTAATAACCATGCAATTCATTAAGGAGGAGCATGATTTCAACTCATATTATTTGTACCATTTGCAACGTGTTGTTATTACTAGAGATGTTCAGTTGCGATGGTACAAATAGTTTTATCCAATCCGGATGTATATGGACTTACCTTGACCAAGCAATCGTGGGAGAAGAAGCGAATGAGGGCGGCGGGGAGCTTTAGATCATCCTGATGAGCCTTTGACACAATGTCAGCAACAATTTTTTCCACATTTGGGCAACTGTGGCTGTAAAAGCCGACACGTAACCCATTCCCAGTGCTTTCTCCAGCTGCCTCTGTCCAAGGAACGATGATGGTGATGATGATGCACAAGGTGAAGAAGGTTGCTGTGGTGATCATTAGACGATCCATGATGTCCATGATAATTAATTAATGATTAATGATGTGCACTAAACTGTCAAAATTACATAGACGTGAGTGAAATATTAGGTTTCTTGTGTTATAAGATAACAGGTGCTTGTCTTGCCTCAATATGTTTTCTCCTGGTGATTTGCCTGTTGGCCCTTGCAAATAGTCTTGAGAAATGGGTTTCAAAATTTGTTAGGCTATTCTTCTTCTTCTTCTAAACTCGGTTTGAAGTTTTTATTTTGTACATTTGGATTTTCTGTGTGGTGTAACAAATTTCGTACCAGTGAAATTGTGAGTGATTGCCTTCCTTGGAGAGGGAAAGAGAGGGGTAAGGGCCACCAGCCAATTAACATGACAAAATCCTTGAGGTAGGAATTTGTTCACTTTCAACCCCCCAAAACTAAGAGGAACAAAAATCACCACTCACCCAAAATAAATGTTTGCAACATCCTAAGTTTGACATCTTTCTCTTTTCTTCTTTTGTGTTGGAATCTTTCTAATTTTGTTAGTGTCTGCAAATAAGCATGGCCCAAAACGAATTCTGATCAAACATGTAACATAATGTAATAAGTTAACAAAGATGATTTTAGAGGTTGAAATTTTATTGTCCACTCAAACCTCTGTTTAGAGGCAAGAGACTTGTAGTTTAAGTGGTAAAAAACAGTTACTTCCGTCCGTTCGAGATCCGCTGGTATAAAAAATAGACTCATCTAAGCCCTTTGTGAATTGCTTGGGCTTTTATTCAATCCATCAAGAAAAGACAAAAATAAACTGTGGGCTTATTAGATCGGTAAAAACACCATGCTTGCTGGGCCTCAAAAATACCAATGATTCCTTTTGCTCTCGTTGGAAAGACTGCTGTAATCGTGTGATCAATCACCTCATCATGCTCCAATAAAAAATAAAAAACCTAAAAGTCTTATATGTTTGACTTTATTGCATCAACTTCTAAAATATGGTTTTTCTTAGTCGGCAGCAAAGAGTTCAAATGAGAAACCTAAGGAACCTAAGTACCAAAAACTAACTCGTAACCACAATTTAATCTTGATTAGCTCTTCGTTGCAATCTGAGGACACATTTTTTTCTTTTCAAATGTTTCTTAATATAATAATGATTAATAATAATAATAATAATAATGATGATTCATATTACCTTCAGCTAAATGAGGAATTTTACCAGTCCAATGACACTAATTAGGCTGCGGACTCATTTTTCTCACCAATGAAATGAAGCATCCTATATTATTCCTATTCAACGTGTTCATGCACAAAAATAATCATAATCATAATAAATAATAATATGCAAAAGTTCTTGGCAGAGCTGTGAAGGCATCTTGGTTTGGGTCTGGCTTTAATTTAAGGTATAATTCTCATTAGTAATAAAAATATATCTGATTTCTCATAAAGAAAAAAGAAAAAAAAGGAAAAGAAGTTCCAGACCAAAGGGACAGCTGCCCCTTAATTAAAAACAATGGAAGAAGCACCAAAGAGACAACCATGCTCTATAAACGGCAAAAACAAAGCTCTTGTGTTTGTGTCTTGCTATAAATTTTCAAGGCTAACACATGAACAACACATATTTAGTGACGTGGAGCACGTGTTGTCGTTGGGCTTTCACAAGTGGGCAACCTGCTATGATAGCATGAAAGAAGTTGAGGTTCCACCCCAAAACCAATTGGCAATGGGAGAAGTAGTCCAATACCTTATATAAGCCCTTATAAAGTTTTTTAACTTTCCAATGTGGGACATTTTCACCTTCACATTCTCACATTGAAACTCCTACATTTTCAGCCTTTTCTTTCCTGCATAAGAAGGAACAAGTCCATACCACAACCATGGCATCCCTTCATCTCCTTACTTTTCTTCTCCTCTCTCTATTTCTGATTTGATTTTCGGCAGGTTTTTCCGCCCGTGCATCTATCAAAGCTACTCTCCTAAATCCCATTTGTTGCTCTGCAAAAATCATGACATGTAATGCCTCACTGTACCACATCAACAGCGGCCTGAAGAAAGAACAAATTGCCTCTTTCTATTCTGTCTATCCATCCGAAATCAAACCTATAAAGCACAACAGCAAACAAGATTACCTCATAAGTGTGCCTTGTTCTTGCAAGAACATATCTGGCACTGTTGGATAATTCTATGATACAACCTACAAAGTGAAGCCATCAGACACATTTTATAATGTCTCCAATCAAATTTACAGCGGCCAACCTAATTATCTGTCAAAGAAGAGCTACCGAAATTTGTTCCAGAAGCCGACTTTCCCATTCATCTTCCGTGTGGTTGCGTAGAAAGTGACTCTCAGATTGTGATGACATACACAGTTCAGGAGCATGATACGGTACTGTCAGATATTGGAACTCTGCTCTCTGCCAAGATTGACAACATAAAAAGCATGAACAAAAATATGACTGAGAACCCTTCTTTCCTAGCTGTAGGTTGGGTGTTGTTTGTTCCCATGGAAAAGAATGGACTTAAAACACCAAATACAAGTGAGTTCTGACCAAGGAACGTACGATGATGGTGATGATGATGCACAAGGTGAAGAAGGTTGCTGTGGTGATCATTAGACGACCCATGGTGTCCATGTTAATTAATCAATGATTAATGATGTGTACTAAACTGTCACAATTACCTATACATGATTAATGATTAGTGTTATATCAAGATTGCAGGTGCTTTTGCCTTGCCTCTATATGTTTCTCTTGATGTTTTGTCTGTTGGCCTTTGTAAATATATAGTCTTGAGAAATAGGTTTCAAAATTTGTTAGGCCCTTCTTCTTCTTCTAATAAACTCGGTTTGAAGTTTCAATTTCCTGTGTGGTGTGACAAATTGCGTACCAGTGAATTGTGAGTGATACCTTCCTTGGAGGGGGAGAGAGAGGGGTAAGAGCGGTAGGAATTTTGTGTTGTGATCTTTCTAATTTTGTTAGTGTCTGCAATAAGCATAGCCCAAGACGAATTCTGATAAAACATGTAGCATAATGTAATAACAAAAGATTATTTTAGAGGTTGAAATTATTTTGTCCACTCAAGCCTCTCTGCTAAGAGGCAAGGGCTTGTAAGTTAAGAGTAGTTATCTCTGCACTCGAGGTCCTATGTTCGAATCCCCCTTCTCCAATATCGATTGTATAAAAATAAAAATAAAAACCCTTGTCTTTAGAGAGAGGAAAGAAACCCTTGTGAATTGCTTGAGCTTTGATTCAATCCATGAAGAAACGACAAAAAATAAACTGTGGGCTTATTAGATCATTAAACACCATGCTTGCTTTGCTGGGCATAAAAAATACCTATGGTTCCTTTTTGGCTCTTGTTCAATTGGAAAGACTGTAATCAATCACAACCTTAACTGGAAGGAACACCTCAGCACGCTCCAATAAAAAATAACAAGATCAAAAGTCTTATATATATGACTTTACTGCATCAACTTCTAAAATAAGGTTTTTCTCAGCCGGCAGCAGAGAGTTCAAATGAAGAAAGCAACCTACGTACGTACCAAAAACCAATAATGTCTTGTAACCACAATTTAATCTTGATTAGCTCTTCGTTGCCATTTTTTTTTTTTTTTTTTTTTTTTTCTTTCTTTTCCATAATGATTATTTTAGTTAAATGAGGAACCAAGGCTGCAGTCCTTTTTTTATCTCACCAAGGTAGCATCCCATAATCCTATTCTACGTGTTCATGCACTAAAAATAATTGTAATATGCAGAAGTCCTTGGCAGAGCTGTGAAGACATCTCCGGCTTTAATTTAAGGTATAATTCTCATCAGTAAAAAAATTAATGGAAATATAAGAATATATCTGATTGCTCAGATAGAAAAAATATCTTTCCAGCCGCCCCTGAATTAAAAACAAAGGAAGAAGCTCCAAACAGCCAACCATGCATTACAAACTGCAAAAACAAAGCTCGTGTTTGCTCTACTAATGACAGTAATAAGACAAATATATAAAAAAACTGGACCAGTCCAGAATGCCTTTTAATAATGATTAATGTCATATGTTCCACTGACGCAGCACACTAGCGTTTTTATCTGTCTATATCAATAGACCCCAGTAAGTGCTTAGATTTAATAATTGATCTGGAGCCGTTCGATCTACTTCTGCCCTCTTGCTACCATAAAGGCCCCTGCTATACCAGACAAAAGGAAAAATTTAGCAATGTCTCTGAATTATAGGTCGTGTTCCACTTTGCCTTATGAACTTTCAATTAGTTCTCGTAAACTTATGCTTCGTGTCATGTCCTCCTGCATTTAGTTATGTCAATTATTCAGTCAAATTGAGGGTCACTTTCGTCTATTTAAGTTGGGACTTGATCTTACCCCCTACAAAAATATGATCAAGATTAGAAAATTATAGATTACATTTTCGTCGATGCTTACAAAAAGGTCATATAAAAACTTTATCTATACTATTGAGTAATATATGAATTCAACTCTCTTTGCAATAACCTACGGAAACCTAAGCAGTTTCCAAATAAACAAGGGTATTCCTACCAATCGCTTCTTTTGGTGTTGCTTGAGAAACAAACAAAAAACAATGCTTTGAAACTCCTACATTTTCAGCTCTTTCTTTCCTGCATAGGAAGGAACAAGTCCACACCACAACCATGGCATCCCTTCATCATCTTCCTTGTCTTCTCCTTTCTCTGTGGCTCACCCAATTTCCTGCAGGATTTGCCTCCGATGCATCTATTATAGCCACTCTCATAAACCCTTTGAGTTGCTCTGCAAAAATCATGACATGTAATGCCTCACTGTACCACATCAACATCAGTCTGAACAAAGAACAAATTGCCTCTTTCTACTCTGTCTTTCCATCGGAGGTCAATCCTATAAAACACAACAGCAAACAAGATTACCTCATAAGTGTGCCTTGTTCTTGCAAAAACATATTTGGCACTGTTGGATATTTCTATGATACAACCTACAAAGTGAAGCCATCAGACACATTTTATGATGTCTCCAATCAAATTTACAGCGGCCAACCTTTGTCTGTCAAAGAAGAGCTACCAAAATTCGTTCCAGAAGCCAACTTTCCCATTCATCTTCCGTGTGGTTGTGTAGAAAGTGACTCTCAGATTGTGGTAACATATACAGTTCAGGAGCATGATACACTGTTGGATATTGGAACTCTGCTGTCTGCCAAAATTGATAACATAGAAAACATGAACAAAAATATGACTGAGAACCCTTCATTCATAGTTGTGGGTTGGGTGTTGTTTGTTCCCATGGAAAAGAATGGACTTAAAACATCAAAAACAGGTGAGTTCTGTTTTAGACTTCTTGACTAAATTTCACGTGCTTGAAATATCTAAGAATCTATGTCCACAGTTGAAAAAAACAAAAAAATGTTTCACGACCAACATGAATGAATTTGTTGGTCAACAATTTTTACCACAAAAAAAGAATTTCTGAATCAAATCGAAATTTACTGGAAATCAGATTACTACAAGGGTTTGATAATTATTTGATATGATGTAACTTCATTTCCTTTTGCTTTGTTTTCTTTCAATCTTCCAATACTGCGGATTTATGTATTCGTACATAGACAAGTTTATACAAGCATTTCAGAAAATTCACAGATAGTTTTCTATGGGAGATGACGGTCATTGCTTTGTTTTTTATCATCAGGAATCAGACACAAGTGGATGATACTGATTGGCATAACATTAGCTGTGACATTACTTTCAATCAGCACACTGATCCTTCTCCTTTATAGGAGACGAACACCAGAAAAAAATGTGGAACTTCCAAATAAATCTGTGTCCAGAAGCTCCAAAAGCTTGGCTGTCCATAGATCTTTTTCCTTGCATAATCAGTTACTTCATAAAGAAAACATGGAAGGTCAGATTTAAACTCCAACCATCTCTAGAATTTAATAATTTGTGCATGGTGGATTAGCTATGTCAATATGCCTGGAGAGGGAGAAAATTGCTCCTTACAGTTAACCTACATTATTGGTTTTATAGATGGGCCAGTTTTTGAATCAGACGGACTGCTAATATTTGGTGTTGAGCAGATTGAAGAGGCTACCGGTTACTTTGATGAAACTAAGAAAATTGGAGAGGGTGGATATGGTAGTGTGTACTTTGGAGTAATAGGGGAGAAGGTATGGAAAGACCCTACAAGTTTTTCTCCATTTCTACCTGACGAAAGTTACAAAACTAAGCCACATATATGTGGTTACATTAAGTTTCAGAAGATAACAGCTGCTTCAACTTTCAGGAGGTTGCCGTAAAGAAGATGAGATCGAATAGTACCAAAGAGTTCTTTGCAGAGCTAAAAGTCTTATGCAAGATCCATCATATTAACGTGGTAAGTAATCATTTCTAAATAAATGACCTCCTCTGAGTTCTAACATGGTGTGAAAGAAAGGCTTTAGCAGAATGATCACTTGTGAAATCTCTGTTTTAGGTGGAGCTTTTGGGGTATGCAAGTGGAGATGACCACCTCTACCTGGTGTATGAGTATGTTCAGAATGGATCACTGAGTGAACATCTTCACAATCCATTACTTAAAGGTATTCAAATCATTTCACAACCACACACCTCTTAAAAAGGACCTTTTACATGGAGAGCTAATCATTAACTTGCAGCTAAATGAGATGAAGTTAACCAAACAAATCCAAACTTAAGTATCAGAACAGGCTTTATACTAGTGCTCATCTGGAACAAAGACTATATGTTTTCAAACTTAGGTCATATATCTAATAAGATTCTGGAGTTTTTTGCGTGCTTGGATCCTTAACCTACAAAGCATTGTTAGGAACTTCACTAAACTGGGCTATTAAATCAGGTCACCAGCCACTCTCTTGGACTGCAAGAACACAAATTGCACTGGATGCTGCGAAAGGTATTGAATACATTCACGACCACACAAAAGCCCGATACGTGCACCGTGATATAAAGACAAGCAATATTCTACTTGATGAGGGGCTCAGGGCAAAGGTATCTAAAAAATGAATTCATTCTCCACCATGGGGATCTTTTTAATGCAGCCGTGTTTGATTAAAGTTTTACTGAATTTTATTGTACAACTTCTGTTAAAAGTTAGTAGGTTAAAACTCATTTCTGTAGGTGGCAGATTTTGGTTTGGCAAAGCTTGTTGGAAGAACCAATGAGGAAGACATTATAGCAACAAGGTTGGTTGGAACACCAGGCTATCTTCCCCCAGAGTAAGTTTTATATCTTTGCCTTTTATACAACTATCACAAAGAACACTATGGTAAACCTTCACACAGAAGCAAGTTTTTCTTAGTTGTTGGTATATCTAACCTGACCTAGTATGTGTTTCTGAAAGATCTGTCAAGGAGCTCCAGGTGACTCACAAAACTGATGTATTTGCATTCGGAGTGGTGCTAGCAGAGCTGATCACAGGGCAACGTGCACTTTTCCGTGACAACTGTGAGCCTGAGAAGATGAAATCTTTAATTACAGTTGTAAGTTTCCAGAGACTTTGACAAATATTTACATGTTAAAACAGAGTTTATCAAAACCACACATGAAACATGAAAGTGAACAGATATCTATGTTTGTCCAATGATTGTACTTTAACAAATATCTATGCATGTCACAACAGTACAATCTAAATTCAATTTCCAACACATCGTCAGATTAAGAAGATATTCCAAGAGGAGGACCCAGAATCAGCTTTAGAGGCTGCCACAGATGGAAATCTCCGGAGCAACTATCCCATGGAAGACATATTCAAGGTTTGCTTTTTTAATTATATACCCTTTTGTCTTTCATGTTTTATTACTTTGAAGATAGAAAAAAAAGAGTCAGATCATATATATATATACGTATTGCAGATGGCAGAGATTGCTGAGTGGTGTTTGAGTGAAGAAGCAGTGGAGAGGCCAGAAATGCGGGAGATTGTTGTGATGCTCTCACAGATTATGGTATCTTCAATTGAATGGGAAGCATCGCTTGGTGGGAATAGCCAAGTTTTCAGTGGTGTATTTAATGGAAGATGATCCTAAAACACTTGTTCACACAGTGATTGCTTGTTTTCTGCTAAATGATCTTCTTCTTTTTTGGGTGTAATTTTGTTACATGTATTTTCATCGTATCTCAATCAAGTGAGTTTCTAGATAATTTGTTGTATTTTCTTTCCCTTTTTAAGTCTCTAACTAATTTTGTGTTGTAGTCAAATGCAGCTCTAGTAGCTCGTAACCAATTTGTAATTTTTCAATGTTTGGCATATAAAGAAAGACAAATAAATAAAAGACATATAAAGTTATTAGTTTGATTCTTGTTTTAATGCGATAATAAGATTGATGTGGAGAAAAAAAATAGGAAAGGAAAAGAAACGAACTTTTTGATCAAAACCAAATGTAGTAACCCTTTATATGCTTTGATCCCACCCAAAACTCTTGGCCTTAGCTTGGGGTTTTTCTCTTGACACTTCTGTGTATGTGTGTGTTTTTAGGCTTATTTATTGTGGTACCTCCTGAAACTTCAATCAAATCTCACTTTACCTTCCAAAGTCAGAGTGACCCACTCAACCCCTTTGAGCGTGGTTTTGTGTTCCACTTTATCCCCCACCATTAATGCCATTCAAAAGACCGTAAAAAATGCTGATGTGGCAGGGTCATTATGGTAAAAGCACCCATAGTGGCCAATTGTTGAGCATAGTCAGCATCCTACATGGCATAGTGTACAACACAGACTATTAAAATCCAAATTGAAGCAGCTCAGTTCATAGATTTAGCCAAAAGAAAAAGCTTCTTAGTCGAAATAATTTGGGGATTAGGGTTTGGAGTATATAATCGAAGAGAGAGAGAGAGAGATATATATATATATATTCGAAAATCTATATATATATATATTCGAAAATCTGATAGGGAGTGAATATTGTGGAAGAATCGAAATCTTGGGAGAAGCGCGAATATTGCAGAGATTGAAAAGGGCAATGATGGTGTCGAGAGAGAAATGAGGTTCTCAACCCGAGTACGGTAAGTGGCCCTTCTCTTTTGAAATGGAATCAATGACAACGAGAGATTTACAGAGTGTGGTCCAAGTTTAAGCTTCTTCATTGTCTGCTGGCTTTGTTAGGTTGGGTCCAAAGGTGTTGAGTTTGAAAAGACTGGAATACAAAATTGTTGTGGTCCCCTATGTCTTGCTGTTATGTTTTCTTGTTTACTAGTTGTTTAAAGGTTCTTTTTGTACTTTAAAAATGTTAATTGCGTGTGAATCTTGCTCCATGTCTGTTTACTAGTAGTTTGGTGGTTCTGTTGTCCTTTTTAAACTATACATATGACTAGGCAATGGTTAAAGTGTCTTTTTTGATGTTCTGTTGTGCAGATAACAAAGAAATAGTCATCTTTAAGTACATCATGGAGGTAGAATGGTAAAGTCCCCAAACCTCAATGAGTGGTGGTTTTATATGGAGGGATTTATTGATTATTGGATTGGTGTCTTCTGGACTACATAAATTTGTTAGAGATATATAAGTATGCAAAAGAGCTTGGCTACCATGACCAAGTAGTTGTGACAGGGATACAAAATGGTAAAAAAGTGTGTATAGATAGTGATGCTCAGCTACTTGAATGGTCTCATTTGGTGCCTCATAGCTTTGAAAGAGTGATTGTAATTTACTTGGAACACCCCACTATTATTAGTGTGGATGAAACTGCAGTGGCTTGGAGGGAGAAGGGTCTTATTGCAAGAAACCTAACTGCTGAATTTGAACATGAAGATAAGAGTGAAGAACAGTCTGGTTATGAGGGTATGTATGAGGAGGATAAGGATGATGAAGAGGTTGTTGAAGAGGCTATAAATGTGGAGGATGAGGGTGATGAAGAGGTTATATATGAAGAGGTTGAGAATGACAAAAGGGCTGAAAATGAGAATGAAGACAGTGAAGAACATGAGGAAGACCCTGAATTTTATGACAGTGCTTATGAGCAAAGTGAAGATGAACAATGCTTGCTGGAAAATGATGATAAAACATTTGACAACTATGTTGACCACAATGCTACAGATATTGATCTGCAGATGAATGAGAGAAGTCGGATGATATGGTTGTAAGTGATGTTAATATATTGGATAGTAGTTCATGTGATGAGGTTGGTATGCCTATGAGAAAGAGGAAGAGGAAACTGCCCAAGTTTGATGATTTTAGGCATGCCATAGATTTGACTAACCCAATCTTTAAGATTGGTCTAAGATTTCCCAGTGTCTATGTATTTAGGAAAGCAGTGAGAAACTATTCAGTATTTAACAGAAGGAAGATTAGGTTCTCCAAGAATGATAAAATGTTAGAGCAGTTTGTGTTGTGATTAAGAATGGAAAATGTCCATGGTTTGTTTATGCTTTAGCTGTAAATGGAAGTAGCATGTTTCAAATTAAGAGTTATGAAGAAGAGCATACTTGTTGGACTGTTGAACGCAGTGTCCATGCTAACTCATCATGGTTAGCAGAGAGATATTCTACATACTGTCTAGAATAATAAATTGGGATGTAGGAGCTTTTAAGAAAATTGTAAATGAAGATCTATGTGTCATAGCTTCAAGATCACAAATATATAGAGCAAGGCAAAAAGGAACTGTTGTAAGTGATGAGACTTACACAAAACAGTTTGAGTCTCTTTGGGATTATGTTGAGAAGCCAAAAAAGATAAATGTGGGAAATACTATAATCATTAAGTCCAATTTGGAGGGTGAAAAATCCAAATTTCAAAGAATTTATATATGCTTGGCAGCTACAAAGAAAGGGTTTATTGATGCTTCGAGGCCAGTTGTTGGTTTGGATGCTTGTCACATCAAGGGGTAACACCCTGATCAATTACTCTCTGATGTTGGTGTTGATCTTAACAATGACATGTATCTAATAGCTTATGCAGTGACATAGACTGATAATTATGAAACTTGGACTTGGTTTTTGGAACTCTTAGCTTTTGATCTCTACATTGAAAATAGCAAAGGGTATGTGTTCATTACAAATAGACAAAATGGCTTAATTGATGTAGTGAGTGACATGTTCCCAAACTTTGAGCATATGCACTGCCTTAAACATCTGCATGCCAATTTTATACTTGCTGGCCATAGAGGATTAGTTCTGGAGACTGCTGCAAGGAATACAACTATACCTTGGTTTCAAGCAGAGATGAAAAAGCTCCAAGATTTGTCAGGACCAACTTTTGATTGGTTGGCAAGGCTTAATCCAATGTAGTAGTGTAGATCTCACTTCAAAACACACTCAAAGTGTGACATTCTCTTGAATAACATGTGCGAAGCATTCAACAAGTCTATCCTTGATGCTAGAGACAAGCCTATTATAACAATACTTGATAGGTTCACGTATTACATCATGTTGTTGATGGCAAGTAGAATATAAGATATGGACAAATGAGCTCATGATGTGGGGCTAAAAGTTTTTGCAACTTTTGAGAAGCTTAAGAAGCAGTCAGCCTAGTACATTTCAAGGCTTGTTGAGGATAACAAATATGTGGTTAAGTGTTTTGGAGGCACTCAGGTGGTAGTTGATTTGAAAAACATAAGTTGTTCATGTAGGCAATGGAATCTAACTGGGATCCCATGTAAGTATGCTCGTGCTACCATTGGGTAGTGAAATGGCAATCATATCAGCTATGTTCATGATTATTACAAAAAGGAGGCCTTTATGAGAGCTTACAAACTCATGGTTCATCCAATAGCAAGCCAAAACTTCTGGGCTAAAACAAATTTCCCACATTTGCTGCCACCTAAATATTATAAAGAGCTAGGGAGGCCAAAGAAAAGCAAGGTAAGCTATTGGACCACCTTCAAGCTTTAATCATAAAGTTAAACACTTGCAAATGTATAATTTGGAAACCAAGTGTTCCATATGTAATCAAACATGCCATAATAAGAGGAAATGTCCAAAGGCAAATGAAACAAGGAGTAGCAGCCAGGTATATTTAAAACATCTGATTTTAAAAGTTTCGTATGTTGAGCATTCTGATATGGATTCATATGTGATGTTTGTTGGTCAGGTTCTATCACAAAGGCAAAAGAAGAGAACACTTTAAGGCAACACACATAAACTCAAAGAGTTACAAGACAATCAAGGCAGAAATTGTTAAGATGAAAGAAATTATACAGAAATTCCATAAAGAACAAGCACATAGGAAGAAAATACAGAGAGAAACTGAGAGTGAATATTCTATTGTATTTCACTTAATGAATTGTTCAGTACACTAAGTCTCATATTATACAATTGGAGATCTCTTATATCTTAAGTAATCTTACTTAACAACCTGACTATTGAGTTAACTAACAACTATCTAACTACCTCACGTGACGCACACATGACTTTCTAACAGCTTATCCTTCAACCTGTTTACACTTGGCAGCATCATCACCCTTAATACTCTTACATCCCCCCTTAATCTCATGCTTGAAGGAGCCAAACATAAGATTGGAACTTCGAAGTGGAAAAGATAGGCAAAGAGGCCTTGGAGAAGAATATTTGCAAACTGTTATGCAGAAGAAACATGTTGCAGAGATAATCATGTCTGAGTAACAAAATGCATGAACACAAGAATTTGAAACTGTGAAGAACTTTGCGACAGAGAGAATAACAAAATGTGGAATACTAAAATGTACAAACAATGAGATACAGAGTTTATGCAAAACTAGGAGGTTGAGCCATGTGTTTGAGTTTCCATTAAAAATGACCAGCAAATACCAAAATAAAATGAACAATGGTTGATGGAACTACTAGCTGGACCATGCCATTTTAATCAAGCTCACTATCTAGCACACTATGATGTGTATTGGAAACTATGTTGATGGTAACCTTACCAAAAGTGAAGCTCTGATCGAATAGACTATTGGCAAATTCCAAACGAAGTACAGAGTTCTCAGCAAAAACCTTGTGTGATGCTTCCTAATAAGTGTCATCCCCATTTGCAAGAACAACAAAACCCTTAAGGGCACATAAAGTGGCTGTTGAATCAATGTAGAAGTCAGATAGAGTGTTGGTAGATTGAAGACGAGCCATAGAAGGTGCCAAAAAAAATTCGTCTAGACCAAATATGTGTCTTGGTGGACCTAAATCAGTATTGCGAGAAACCATCAAGAAAGTTTCAGAAGAGAAGACACTTGAAGCACTCTCTAAAAAAGAGGACTCATCTAAAGTAACATCATATTCATGTCAGTAATGAGAGCTGACTTCAAAGCATTTACTATATGAGGCATCATAACATTTGCATCTGAAATTTGTGTATCAGGAATTTTACACACACTGGCTTCCTTTTCAACAGATACTTTAATATTGGGAGCTGGCCATATTGGGAACTTTGCAACAGTTGCTGCATAAAAAATTGAACCATTTGTGCTTCAAAGATGAATTATTAGCAACCATAGCATGCTAGAAAGCCACATGCGCAGCAGGTTGTGCAATATTTGTCTCATGAGCAAGCAATAGAGTCGAAAATCTTGAAAAGAGATAACACGTTCACGACATCGAATGACACAACAAAATGTATTATACGCTGCTGGTACCCATTTAAAGCAAGAATCACAATGTCTTTATCATCGACACTCACACCTACGACACAAAGAAGATCTCTTGCTTCTTGAATACGGTGCAAATATTTAGCCATTATTTCAGAACCTTTCTTGATGTTATACAGATCAATCTTCATGTGAAAAATTTGGGATCTTGTAACAGTAGAGAAATGATCTTTAAGCCAAGCCCACAATTCTTGAGCATCTTACTACCAATTACACAACACATTGGTGAAGAAGATAAAGTAGTATAAATGAGTTGCAAACCATCTTTTGCAAACCCAGAAGAGAATCTTGGTGGACACGGTGTCAAACCATCCACAAAAGCAATTAGTCCATGCCTTCGAGCATAACCACCATCAGGAAATGCCAAGTAATGTAATTGAAATCTGTAAGTTTTACATTAATAGAGGTTGCAGCTTGAATTATTAATGCAATTAGAGATTGCAAGATTGGTAGTTGGGAAAAAGTTACCATTGGTAATTTGTAGATAGGAAAACAAAGAATGTAGAAAGCAAGTGCAATATTGTGAAAATTCAAGACTAGAGTTTGATTTGAGCAATTTTTCAAATACCTTATGAGCAAAACAAATATGTGATTCTTTCTTTCTTTCTAGTAAGAAGAATGGTAGAATTGCAACAAAAAATAGAGTCAGAGATAAGAAAATTCAAGAGGAAAAAAAATCGAGAATTGTAATTGGAGATTGAATAATTTAAAGTTGTGTAGAATCACAGAAAGAAAGGAAAGATAGAGACGAAGAAGTTCTTTGAAGCAATTGATCGAACAGATACCAAGCACGATGCAAGAACACAAGGAGAAGAAGAAGTCTGTACGAATAAGACCCAGAAAGCAGAATGTGGAAACAAAGAAGCTCAGGATCGTACCATGGCAAATGATACCATGTTAAGATGAAATAAATTATACAAAAATTCTATAGAGAACAAGCACAGAGGAAGAAACTAAGAGTGAATATTCTATTGTATTTCACTTAATGAATTGTTCAGTACACTAAGTCTCATAGTATACAATTGGAGATCTCTTACATCTTAAGTAATCTTGCTTAACAACCTAATTGACTACTGAGTTAACTAACAACTCTCTATCTACCTCACGTGACACACACATGACTTGCTAACAGCTTATCTTTCAATCTATTTACACTTGGCATCATCATCACCCTTGATACTCTTACATGCATCATTTTCTACATAATCAAGGCAAAAACAACCAGTAAGTTGGGTTTCTTTTATTTAAGTAACGTTATGGAACTCTGCCACAATTTTTAGATCATATCAAAGGCTAAAAAAAGGTTCAATCATCACCAAGCATCTTCTCAAATCTAACCAAGCTTCTCAACCATCTCACTAACCAACGCAACCATCTCAAGCTTCTCAATTTGAACAACCATATCAGTTTGAACAAGCATCTCAAGCTTCTAAGTTTGAACAACCATTTCAATCTCAAGAACTAAATTGGTCTCAGCCTCAAGCATTTCAGCCTCCACAAGCTTCTAAACAAAGGAAAGTTAGGTTTAAGTCTCCAGTTAAGAGGAAAGCATTCTTGGCAAATTTTCAATAATGGAGATATTGAAAAAGCTCTGCTCTGTTTTGGTTATCACATGTGTTTTGGGTCAAAGAAAGCATCTGAATGTGTTTTGATGGGTTGAATGTTAGTTTTATGTTTTGTTGTGTCTTGGTGAACACATGTGTTTTTGGGTAGAAACTGTATGTTTGATATTTTGTTGTCTATTTGTTTTTGGGTATAAAATGTTTGGCATTGCCATGGATATCACATGTGCATATTCAGTCTTTTGTATTTTGTTTTGGCATTGCCATGAATTGAACATGTGCTTACAAAGTCTTTCTTTTGAGTTATGTACAAGACTTTGTACAATTTATGTACAAGACTATGTATAAGTTATTAATCAATGGTAGTTCAAAAACTCTGAAAGGTTTCAAGAATTCTTGGCGCATACAAAAGTGTTTAATCTTAACCATTACAAAAAGGGTTTTGAAACCATTACATTTACAAAATGCTACAACCATTATATAAGCCTCTCATCTCACTAAATTGCCATTCTACTAGGTACACATTACTTAACTTTCAAACATATCACATTGCCTAACTTACATTACACAACATTACCGAACCAAACCATAAACACAAAGGCCCAAGAAATAATAAAGCAATCCACAACTTCTTCTCTCTTGCTCTTGCACGCCCAATTTGATCTTCAAGTTCTCTCATTGTCCTCAGTAGCCAAGCCATCAGAGCTCTCTCACAGGGAGGCATTCAATATTAACCTAAACAAACCAAAAAAAAAAAAAAAAAAACCCAAACAAAACTCTGCATTCAAAACAAAAGTTCCATCACATTCTCATAATTTATTGTCCAAATTTCGATAAAATAGCAAATTCAAAACCTACCTCTGACTTTGGACACACAAAAAACCTCCGAAGTGGGTTGGATTCTATCCAAGAAGTCTGCAGCTGAGTAAGCCTTCCACAGTAGCAATGAGGTGCAGCAACGGCCAACTCTTCTCCTCGTGGAGGGTCTTTCCTCATCTTCACACCTTTTAATTGAAGAAAGATTGAGAATTTTTTTTTAGGTATAGTTACTTAAATCCTTGAAATGGTGGTAAGTAATTTTTTTGAGTTTAGAAACCCTTTTATCGAAGAAGAAGAGAGTCGATTGTTAATTAGGGTCCACTTAACCCTTTGAGCTGTTTAGATTTGAATTTTAAAAGCCTTTGGAGTCCACTGTGCCAGGTAGGATGCTGACTATGCTCAGCAATTGGCCACCGTGAGTGCTTTTATCATAATGACCTTGCCACGTCATCATTTTTTACGGTCTTTTGAATAACGTTAATGGTGGAGGGGTAAAGTGAAACACAAAACCACGATCAAGTGGTTAAGTGGGCCACTTTAACTTTGAGATGAGTAAAATGAGATTTAATCGAAGTTTCAGGGGTACTACAATAAATATGCCTATTTTTTTAGACAAGCAACATTAAGGAAGGTATACAAGCAACATTAGGTGAGAAAAAATCCGAACATAAGACCTCGGGTGAAGAAATAACTCATCTTTTACTCGAGCTAAAAATTCAAACAGCTTTCCATCACAATCTTATAATTTTTGTATGTAATTAATTAATAAAGTCACTATATACCCATTTTCGATTTCAATTAATATAGGAAAGGGAAATCTTGAGTGGTAATTATTTATTATTTAAGAATTTAACCTAAAACGGCGTCGTAAGAAGGAGAGAGTCGCGGGTCTCCAACGTCTGGAAGAGGCAAATATTCACCGCGAACAGCTCCATTTCCAAACTCAGACTCTTCAGAGAGGGAGATTGAAGATGACGGTTAATGTTGGAAGAGAAATAGTAGATGGCGAACGGAGCCCTAAGCCCTAAAACCCAAAGCTTCAGATTCAGATCTACGTACTACGTGATCTCTCCTTCTCCTTCTAGCTAATTGACTCTGCTACTAAATCAGAACCAGATCGCATCCAATTTCTGCAACGCCGATCTGATCCTACGCAGAAACCAGTGACCTCATGGCAGGGGCAGTCTCGGCGCTGTTCCTCCTAGACATCAAAGGCCGCGTTCTCATCTGGCGCGACTATCGTGGCGACGTCTCCGCCGTTCAAGCCGAGCGCTTCTTCACTAAGCTCATCGAGAAAGAGGTTCGAAGCTTCTTCTTACTTTCACTTGCTCAATTTCCACAGCTTCTGCGCTTTCTGTATCTTAATTGTTTGAGGAACTGATTGGTTGCTGAGAGAACCATGGAAAACAAAACTGAATTATCGTTTATTTATAAATTATTCCCTTTTGTGTCGTTTGATTCTGAAATTAGCGACAACGAAGTTTTCTTTGATCTATTTTGTAAGAGTAGAACTTGATAGCTGCATTTTGTTTTTCATTTTGTGGTTGCGCAATGTGCTTCAGGTTGATCCGGAATCCCATGATCCAGTTGTGCATGATAATGGCGTAAGCTACTTGTTTATACAGCATAACAATGTCTACTTGATGACTGCGTCCAGGCAGAACTGCAATGCCGCTAGTCTTCTCTTTTTTCTACACCGCATAGTTGATGTAAGCTCTTTCGGTAATTATAAGTTGCATTCATCTTTCGTAGTTGTTTTGTTTCCGCCAGAATGATTGGGAATTTTTTTAACTTTATGGTGATCCATGCTTGGGCCACAGGTTTTCAAGCATTACTTTGAAGAGTTAGAAGAGGAATCACTTAGGGATAACTTTGTGGTTGTGGTAAGAAGATATTTGTACCATTTATTTGGCTTATATTTGATCATGAAATTTTGTGATTTGATGCGATCTTTGTGTCCTTTCTTTGTAGTATGAGTTGCTTGATGAGATGATGGACTTTGGTTACCCTCAGTATACTGAAGCCAAGATTCTCAGTGAATTTATCAAGACTGATGCTTACAGGATGGAAGTTACACAGAGACCTCCCATGGCTGTAACAAATGCGGTGTCTTGGCGCAGTGAAGGGATACGCTACAAGAAGAATGAGGTAGGCGCATGGGGAAAAAAGAAGATTATTTATTCTTTTTTGGAACGACCACTAAATGAATTTCCTTTCTCTCTTTTAATTTTCAGGTTTTCCTGGATGTGGTGGAGAGTGTTAATATACTTGTCAACAGCAATGGACAAATCATTAGGTCTGATGTTGTTGGTGCATTGAAGATGAGAACTTATTTGAGGTGTGTTTCCATCCTAACCCAGTGAATTTCTATCTATGCTTGAGCAGTCTAACTTGGCAGTAGATTCATATGCTAGCCAAATGCCAACTGAATACAACTATTCCATATGGAGATATCAGTCTAGGATTTTCTAGTTTGTTTGGTGTATGCTAGTATTTCAATCCATTTTAGGACGCAACAATATTACGAGGACAATGGTGTAAATTCTAGTTAATATTGCTCTTTGGAGTACTCTGTTATTATTGTTGCCACCTTGGTTCACCATGGAAAACTAGTTGATGCAGTAAATTGACTGATCAATGAAACGTTACACTCATGGGTTATTTTCCCATTTAATCTAGGGCTTGCATTTTATTGAGCAGCGGCAGACTGTCTCAACCTCAATGACAATTTGACCCTTAAAGAAATTAAAGTTTTTTGTTTGAAAATTTAAATTATGTGTTGGAAATTCATAACTAATTTCATAATTTTAATTATGTCCATCGAGTGTTTACTGCACCCTCTCTAAATTACTTGGGACCTCCTTAGCATGTTCTAACTGTGATGTTCGACTCTGTTCATACAAACACCTAAGCTCTTATAGAGCTGAGAAGTACAGCCTCAAGTTGTTTGCTTGCACTCAACAATTGTACAGTAGACTTTTTCTTCACCAGAAGAGAATGGTGTACTCTAGTGAATTTATATAATTCCAATTACATTTTAACTATTTAGCCTTCTCATTAACGTACTGAGAGTATCATCTGGGAACTATAGTATTACTGAATTCCTGTTGCAGTGGTATGCCAGAGTGTAAGCTGGGCTTAAATGATAGAGTTCTGTTGGAGGCACAAGGCCGAGCAACAAAGGGGAAGGCCATTGATTTGGAAGACATCAAATTTCATCAGTATGTAGCTTTCTCTGATTTATCTGAATTCTTTCGTTTGCCTTACAATTGTTTGAGATTTTAAATCATTAATATTCCTACAAGTCCTCGCACTAAATCATAAAATTTCGTTTAGGTGTGTGCGTTTGGCCCGGTTTGAAAATGACCGGACAATATCCTTTGTACCACCTGATGGAGCTTTTGATCTCATGACATATAGGCTGAGTACACAGGTATCCCTCGTGCTCTATTGATGCTGTCTTTTATTTTTCTTTGTGTGTGTGGGTTAGTGTTGGAAGGGAGGGTGTTTGTTAATTGCCTGTCCCATGCCATTTAATGATTTTCGTTATTTCCCCTTTTAGGTTAAGCCTCTAATTTGGGTTGAAGCTCAAATTGAAAGGCATTCGAAAAGTCGTATTGAGATTCTGGTAAAAGCCAGAAGTCAGTTCAAGGAGCGTAGGTATTAGAAAAGTTTCTTTTATTTTTATGGAGACTGAGACGGATGGGTCTAGTTACTGCTGCCGAATCATGTCTCTAGTCAAGTCAATTGCTTTGTTCTCTGGGTACCTTAATGTTTATTCCCTTAGTTCTCATGAAAACTTAACTGCACAGCACTGCAACAAATGTGGAGATTGAGGTCCCTGTGTTATCTGATGCCACCAACCCTGAGGTTCGGACATCATTAGGATCTGCAGCATATGCACCTGAAAGTGATGCGCTTATCTGGAAAATAAGATCTTTTCCTGGTGGCAAGGTGTGGATTCATTTTAAATATCTTTGCACTCATTTCCAAAATTATCTAGTTTAAGAAGATTATTATGTTGTCCCCATGCTGTACACTTTAGCCTCTTTTTATTGACTCTCTCTTTAATCCAAATTGCTTAGGAGTATATGTTGAGAGCAGAGTTTCGTCTTCCAAGTATAACAGCTGAAGAAGCAACTCCTGAGAGAAAAGCTCCTATACGTGTGAAGTTTGAGATACCATATTTTACCGTTTCTGGAATACAGGTATGCACCTGATTGCTTGCTCTATTTCTGGGATGCAGAACCAACCAAAGCAGATAAGTTTGACATTTATGTAAATTGGGTGGGGTTTTGTAGGTTCGTTACCTGAAGATTATTGAAAAAAGCGGATACCAAGCTCTTCCATGGGTGAGATACATAACCATGGCTGGCGAGTATGAATTAAGGCTTATATAAAGTTGCCCCATCCTCCGGATTTGCGGATGGTCTTGAATGGTTCAAACTCAAAACTGGCGGATACATTAAAGACCCTCTTGGAAAACCAGTTGCCTGAGATCTGTGGTTTGTTGAGAATGGTTCTGTTGCTTCTGTCTCTGTATAATGAATGTTCATCTAACGATGTTGTAAGTTGATGGTTACCGGAAAGGTAGATTCGTTCTATACGTTGAATTGAGAATTGGTTATTGTGGTTGTGGATTTTGGCTGTCATATTTTTTTTTCTTCAATTCTTATTTTTCAATTTTGGGATCCCTCAATAGGGACGTTATTGTGGTGCCCATTTCGCATTGTATTTAATCTGAACCTTTACTTTTAGGTCCTCGAAGACTGCGCAAAAAAAAAAAAAAAAAAAAAAAAAAAAAAAAAAAAATGTTTTCAAAGCATCATATATGCATACAGCCCCGTTCTCTTGGACCCCTATGGTCCACGGGAGTTGTGGTCACTCACTCTTGGATCTAATATAAGGGTTCAGAAAAAACTAGTTAAAAATCAAGATATCAATTTAACTTAATCACTCAATCATGAATGTGTTCTTCCTCCCAACGCCGCCACATCACCTCCGATTCCAGCGTCGTAGATGACCCTTTGCAGACATGATGTTACTCGAGCCACCAGTAGTCAGTTGAATGCAAAGGCATAATCTGATTTTTTTTTTAATTTATTTATTTATTTTTTTTGCAGACCTGAACAGTTTTTTTAATTTGGCTCTTTCACTTTTTCGGTTTCTATAATTGAGTTTCCTCCTCTTTTACTGGTTAACATGATTTCCATGAATCTTATACCATCAAGAAGCGGTTAACATATGAACAGGAAGCAGTCTCGTGGGCATCCTGGGCATCCTGGGATCTCATCTGAATTTGTTTTTTTTTGTTTTTTTTTTTTTTTTTTTTTTTTTTTTTTTTTTTTTTTTTTTTTTGGGGTCATCATTGTTTCTTTATTTCTAGTAGTCGTTTCCCTTTTCCTTGTTTTTTTTTTTATAACGATCGCGTTAAATTGCGAGGGGATGGGTGGATTTGGATTTTCGTGTGGGATGCCAGAGTCGGGGTTACTGTGACGGCGATGAAAGGAAGAACTCGTTCCTGATTTTTTTTTGCCCTGAACGTGTCGTTTGAGTGAAGTGTTATTATTTCTGTTTTAACTTTTAGTTTTTATTTAAGTTAAATTAATATCTTATGCAATAAAAGTAAAAGTAAAATTTATTTTTAAATAGATTTTTGTGATAAGTGCTGATAAAAAGACGATTTGAAATGTGGGATAAAAATGTGGTAAGTGTAGCATTACTCTTATTGAAATACAATGCATAATAGACTCTATAAAGATGTGGATATATGTAAATCATAATTATGACGATACAAACCTTGTTGTGCAAATAGAAATAATAATTATGGAATTCCTATTTGCTCTGTATGACGATACAAACGTCAATCACCCTCAGCAGCTAGAAATTTATATATAGGAGGATTACTACTACGGGCACTGAGTGCGATCAAACTGTGTGTAGTGACTGAGTACATATAAACTATTATTATTGCCCATTACTACTAATAGATAGATCATAGATGTGACTAAATTTAATGGCCATTGCTGCTCATGGATTTAATAGTTGATAATCTCTCCAAGAACTCCTTAAACACCTCTTCGTTGCTCAGCAAGCTGATCCTAACATACTTCTCAGCAACCCCAAACCGCCTCCCTGTCCTTCCCTGTACCTTGATGCTTCCTCGTAAAACCTTCTGTGAGTCAATCTCCTCCCCCTCCTTCGCCTCCAACCATGCAAATCCTGTAAGCACAAAACATGCATTAATTAGAAAAAGGCCAACTAAAGTAAGCTCCTAATTATGTTTTAATTAGCTTAATCTTAATCTTAATCATCATCATTACCTGGATATGGTTCAATCAACTCTCCAGAGAAGAGGCAGTACTGTTTGGGGTACTTAGGCAGACAGAAAACTTGATTGCGCTCAACCACTTGCCTCAGCCTCTCCCATCTCTCAGCCATGATTTGGCGGGTGTGCTCAAAGAAGAGATCATCAGATTTGTTAGCAGACTTGCAATTCTGATAGCCATCACAAAGCACCCCCATTATCTTTGCAGCTCGTTGCTGGGAATCTTTGGACACGCCAAGTGTACTCATCTCTATGAATTTAGACATTTTTCTAGCAATCTCTTTGTCCTTAACGACAGCCCATCTGATCAAAGGAGAAAAAAAACACAAACCCAAGTTGAAAAAATTAATTTGAATCTCGTACATGCAATTTTCAAGTTGATCAAACAGCAAAGATTGATCATATTACCCAATGCGTGACCCAGCATGGCCTGTGCTTTTGGAAAACGTGAAGGTCATAATGTCATGATCAGCCAGACGAATAATGGGTGTGTACTGTGGCCAGTAGTAGGCAAGGTCATGAATGAGCTTCCCTTCATCACCTCTGTTTTTCACGACGGCCTCCCGAAGAGTGCCGTCAGGGTTGTTTGGGGAGTTGACAACCTCAATGTAAGGTCCAGTTCCATTCTTGTCAAACTCATAGGCATCCCCTGCCCATTTGTATAGCCTTGAACAAAGGTAGTCTGTCTCCTCCGGATATGACTGCAAGCACCAAGCAGCAAAAAATATTTCATCTTTTTTTTTCCCCACAACTGTAAGACGTGACTACTAATAAACTAGACATGCCCATGTTACTACATTCAATTTCCACGGTTTCAAAACACAGATATACGTGCATATGTTTGTTGCATGTTCCCAAACATGATTATGTTTCCGAAAAGACACATATGTTGGCCTCTTTCGCACCTCCCATGCAAACATCTGCATGTTCCACGACACTCTTCTCGTATAATAATGTCGCCCCCGTCACATACTCGGAGAAATATAATATACTTATATTATTATACTGCAAATTGAATTAACCGGGTAGTAATTGCATAGCTAACACAAGCGCTGAAAACACGCTTAATTTGATAAAATTTATAAGTGAAGCTGAAGCAGCATTCTATTGATGATCTTGTTCAGTTGACTTAAGAAAAGATAGCCTACATGATCAAGATCTATACATTGACCAAGAAACCCTAAGAAACCCTTACCGAGTAGTAAGGGGCAGCAGACACAACGCTGACGGGCTCGGGCCCACCAGGGGAAGTGAGAGCATACAGTGCAGCCTGATAGAGCTGGGTGGAGCCTGTCCCAACTACAATGTACCGATCATCCACCACTGCATTTCCAACCACACAATGAAGCCTCCTAACTGCCTCCTCAAATTCTGGCTCCATAAACCAGCAAATGTTGGTGAAATCGCTGATATAGCTCATCAATTGGCACCCAGAGATCACCATCGTACACCTGTCCCCCATCTTTCTCCAGTATGATTCGAACACTGCTGGGTCACCCCTGTCATCACCAAATCCAAAACACCAACACTAATGATTAATCTCATGCATGTTCAATTCTTATGATACAATTTTAACTAAACCCCACTTGATGAAGTTTTGATTAAGGATACAAAACCCACAATAATAATTACTTAAATTTGTGCAAGAAAGATGGCACTGGCAGGCAAAAGAACGGTAGAGAGAACTTACTGTTCAAGATTGAGGACATGGTCAGATGAGCAAGTAGGGCTTCTGGTGCCATTGCCGTTGGCAGAGGGCAAAGAGCTTTTGTTAATGGAAGCAGGGTTGTCTGTGCCGCACATTTTTCTTCTTCTGTGTTTCTCTAACAACACACTTAATTGTTGTCCAAGTTTTTGGTCGCTCTCTCTCTCTCTCAATGTTGGTTCTCCTCGTCTGTGTTTCTCTTTATATATAAGAACAAAATGTGAACACCTTCGGTGCATCGGGTAACATGTTGAGAGAGGTTCATGCACCCTAGTTATAATTTTTTTGGGGGGTTTTCTGTCTTGTTTGGTCATATTAAATCTGACCATATCAAGCATGTTCATTCCTTTCTAACTCATGGAAATCTAAGAACCTCCATAATTGTTACGGATCCCATAATTGTTACGGATATACCTAAACAAATTCTAAATATATCTTCTAACTTATCAATGGGATGGTACTTGAATTGGCTTGGACCTTTGATGTGCATCCAAGTAGTCATGGGTTCAAGCCCCCTTCCCTTTGTAACTTTGGCAACAAAATAAATATATAACTTCCAATTCTGGAGGAAGTTTTGTATGTGGCCACTTTATAATTTTATTTGACTCTTATAATATTCAGATAACTTTCCTCTAGTAATATTCAAGTAAGAATTATATAGAATGGTGACACGGATATAAACATTCCAAGATAAAAATTTCATTGATAAGTGAACTCGAAAACAACCACCTTTCTTTTTTTAAAATTTTGATGTGTGTTAAGATCGATACTCGTTTACGGAATATATATTTGTCATGTGTTGGACACAATGTACATGTGCATCAAGATTCTATGGACATATATAAATTATAATTAGAGAAACAATGTTTTTTAGTTTAAGTACTATTTAAGTGGCAGAAACAGTAAATACCACGCAACATAGAGTTGAGTTCAATTTTTTTTATTATTAATTTTTTTTTCAAACGATTGAGAAATTGTATTCATAAATTACGCCACTAAGGATAATACAAATAGAATAGCCAGACTGCTCATAAACGGGTTAAAATCACCATCCACAAAGGGGTTACAAACTAATACGGAGGAATTCATTGGCAACATCAAACTCATACAATACACCTCCATTCAAAGCCACACAGGGCCAAAGATAGTATGATATAAACATCTATCTAGAAAAGCCAAGTAGCACCCACAACTCAAACTCTCCTGCAGAAAGACCAAAAGCACGCATCAAACTCGAAGGAGTTGATGTGCTTATTCACACCAAACAACTCACACCCAAACAAAGTCAACCAAAGCCCACAACTAAGGCTTGGAAAAAGGCACACCTGAACCAAAAAAAAAAGCATATCCGCCACCGCTGCCACCCC